AGGGAGAATGGTTGAGTCAACTCATGGGTTTATAGGTACTATGCTGGGGAGGTTTTTAATATGATATCTAGAGCTGCCAGATTGTGAAACTTCCTATTGCAATGAGAAAGTGATGATACTATGTAATGAAAGTTGCCAGCTGCAATTACAGTGTTAGTGCCTGAGAGCGCTAATTAGTTGCATTATACTAAATGTAAGTGTTGCATTAAACAAAAAAAAAAGGTTTTTATTGTTAGGAAAATAAGATTGAGAAAGCATATCTTGGTATTACAAAGGAGGCGGTTCTTCTGTGGGCGCTATCGAAGTAGTGGGTACACACCGATGTCAGTGTCAAACTCCATTTGAAGGAGTAAGTGTTGACTGTGATATTAAGATTCCAATGTGGTTTTGTAATTTCACTTTATGTAGCTGTATGTTAGTGTTTAAGTCCTTCAGTCACAGCTGGTTCATGCAGGTGGATTTAACAGTGCGGTTGGCAGCCTCCATCTCTAGCACACTTGCGCACAGCAGGCATGAAACTGAGCGATTTTTGGTCTCTCCGTTTCTGCCAGGGAGAATTTTAAGAAGTGCTGTGGGTCAAGTAGGATTATGATGTGGGAACAGGCGGCTGCTCGCTTAGCAGCCTTTCCTGGCTGCCTGGAGAGAGGCAACCAGCCACGCGCTCCCATCCAGTGTCACGTACTGTTGTTCCTCAGGTCAGGCACACTGCAGGCGTACAGCTTCCCTGTAGCCTTCCTTCCCTCAGCACAGGCAGAATAACTCTGTTTTTGTCTTGCAATGTTGTCTTACATTCCTCCTGCCAATGTTCTTGCCTGTTCCTGAAATTTTAGACAGGAATTAATATAGTTCTTTATTTTTCCAGGGTTTATGCACTGTTAAATAAGTGGTTTACTTGTGAATAGATCCACGTGATTCTGGGGAACGGCAAGCATTTTTTGTGCTGCTCTTGGAGACAGGGGGTTTTACTTCAAGGGTGATAGGAAGCCTTTCTGTACCGTAAGAGAAAAAGTGCTTTTGGGCACAAAAACTGTGGACTGGTATTTTTTTCAGCCACAGTGCTGGTGATGGAAATGAACACTGAGAAATAGGCTGGATAAATTTAAAAATACCCATTTGCTATTCTGTGAAATTTAAAATTGTCCAGGGATTTTAAAAAGAATACAACCCAACCTGAAACTAATACCTGAGATGTGGTTCTTCTGGACTAGACTAAAACTAAGCCAACAGCAGCTCTCTTCTCTCCCAACATCTACCTGGAAAGGAACAAGGATTGCACTGATTCTTCTCCTGTGAGTTGCTGCAGTCATAGATTACATTAAAGGCTGCTTCCAGATTATACATTCTAATGGCTATAGACGTAACTCTTTTTTCTTCTTCCTCCTTCCTGGTAGGAGGCTGCTAGTTTGTTGTAGGCTTTCAATGGATACTCGAATCTCTGTCATTTGATGTGCTCTTGCAAAGTAGAAGGGTTAGCTGATCAGTCAAAGTGCAAATTGCTATTAATCTTTGAGATGTGAAAGTGGGGCATCTTAGTTCTTTACTAGAACTTGCTAAAATAGTATTTCTGAAACTCGAGTCAGAAAAAATGTCATTAATTTGCTAATTAATTTCTTTTAAATACAAAGTTCTGCTTCGGTGAATGTTTCTGCATTGATCCGTAAAGAATTTTGGTTTGTGCTGGGAAAAAATAAGACTGAAACTGGGTTTATATAAAGCAAAGGAGAACCACGTACTTTAAATTGGCAGAACTAGTCTAGACTTGTGTAACCGAACATGGTGATATGAATATGAATACATGTTGGATTCATGATGAGAGTGACATGTTTTCCAGCTGGGATTGAGCCTCCTAAAGCTATGGCATCCTCCACACAGAACTTAGCATATGCCTTTCTCTTGTAATGGATTGACTTTGCCCACTGAGGGCATTACCATCTCGGTTCAGAGCGGGAGCCTGCTTCTGATGTGACCTGGCAGTGCCCTGTCCTGCGTCTTGGTTCACTCAAGAGCGGCCCCCACGCCTTTTGGACAAGTGTTAACGGGGAAGCGTGTTCCAGTGCCTGACGGACGGTCTGGTCGGTCTGCAGGGGAGCCTGACACTCGACTGGCATGAACCTGAGTGAAAGGCATTGCGTGTGGACGTCGGTGCTCAGCAGCAAGTATTTAGTCTACAGCTCTATTTCTGTCTCTGCTACCGCCTTGTGTAGACATAGCCTGAGAGAATTTCACCTGGGGAATCGGCAGGAAAAAATACCACCACGCCTGTCCTCATGCACGCTTTCCTCACCTTTTGTCACCTGAAACGAATGTAAAATGGAAGGGGCTTCTGCACCTCACCTGTGTGTAGCCATGTCTCTTGTGCAGAGAAGAGCTGTGTGTTAAGCTAGGCCAACTCCTATTTGATATCAACAGCCTCTGGATCAAATCCTGGAAAAATGTGAAAGATACACTGATGCTGCTGTAGCTGTTAAATTCTGGCAGTAATCTTACCCCAAACTGCCCATTTGTCCTGACTTTCTGATCTTAACTCGGAAGTACCGTTGCATCATACCCTCTCGCCTTTCATGCAGAAACCCCTCCAGATAACTTGCCAATATGAAAGTCAAATGAAAGATTGCACATGTTTTTAGAGTTTCCTCCAGCCACTATGCATAGCAGTCATGCATACAGCACTTCTTTCTTTTAGTTAGCCACGTGGCAGTGACATGTGCATTACCTGCTCTGTCCTTTCTGGTAATTGCCTGATGCATTTTACAGCAAGCATTTAAAAACAGTGGAAAAGGGGATAGTAACCAGTGTGTAGATCTCCAAGAATTTACTCAATAAAATTATGTCAATGCTCTTGTTTGTTGTAAAGCTGATTACATCCTGTCCATTTACTTGTATAATCATATTAACGATCTTAATTTGTGATCTGTAAACTGTTCTGCAGAGTCATGAGACTTTTTCTTGGCTTTTGTGCTAGAGCGGAGCAGCTGGAACTTAGAAAGCCAAAAACATTTGCGCGGTGGCTAAATGTAAGGATGACTCAGCTGAAATTTCTGATGATGTTATGCAGCCAGGGAACTTAATAAGCATGTGGCTCGCCCACAGCGTCTCACAGCCGCTGCCTTGTCACGAACAACGTACGTGACCCCTATGCAGATACGCTAAAACATAATCGGGCATTTTTATGCTCTGCCAGTGTTAATTTCCTTGGATTGGCTCTGTTAAGTTCAGAGATCGTATAATTTTTAATTTGTCAGTTTAAAAAAAAAAAATGAAGTGAGAAGAATTTTTAGAATGGTGTGGAACTAGAGGAGAAAAATAACAGCTGTGTGACCTCTGCATGCTGTCTGTTGTATCTAACCGAGAAAGAAGTCTTAGATTCTGATAGAAACTGAGAGGGAAGTGGGGAAAGAAAATATTTTTGTTTATACATTTTCAAAAGAAGTTTAAACAAAACAAAACAACCCCAACAAAACATCTTAGTACAGAATGGTCAAATTTAAGGGGAAACCTGCTCTGTGATAAAATGTCTGGTTAGCCTCAAGTTGAAATTTTTGCAAGTTATATCTTCTGTTTCTCTTTAGATCTATTTTCCTCTCTTTGAAATTGTGTTTGAAACTGTGTAATCAGTGGAAGATGAGGGACAAATAAGGATCAAAGTGTGGCGGTTCTGAGCAGTGGGTTCTGTTTCCAGCTTTGATGTTGGAATAGGGGGGGCAGGCACTGAGGCTCGTTTGGTTCTGTTTCCTCATCTATAAAATGGGGTTAATGGCACTTAATTCTGTGACCAGCTCAGGCTTTTGTAGAGGAGAAGGATTACTGACTGCCATTACGTCTCAGTGTTGGGGAGTTGTAAGCTGTGCAACTGTCTGAAAAAATGCTTTGCAACTGGAAGTGACACTATAGTTACCAAGCCTTTGGGCATGGACTGCTGCTCTTGGCTGCGTGGCTTTTAAACAGAAGCCTGTGAGCTGTGCTTTGGCTGTTGAGTGCTGCAGTCCATCTGCAGCAGCGATATCTCTCTATTGCATCATTCTCTGAAGAGTCAGAAATCCATAGCACTTGAGAGGAAGTGTCCCTTGTGATAATTTTACAGCAAAGCCAGTAATTTTAAGATAAAATTTTCCTAACTCAAGCCAATCATAAATGTGGTGTGAAAGTTCATTTAACTAAATAGCTTGTCATTGTAAATAGCCCTTCTTCCAGTAAGGGAAATGGTGATCACATTTTTATTACTCTAAGTGTCAGTTTTGGTTTGACTGTATGGTGGTTTATCTTGATTTCGAGAATCGTGTTGAGAGAAATAGGAGAACGTGGAATTACATTGATTTACATTTTTCTGTTGTTGAGTAGGAAATGGGCTGCAAGGGTGAGCCTTTTACCTCGTCCTATGCCCAGTTGTTATGGATGACCGGAAAGTCTCAGCTGGGTTTGCTGCGGACAGTTTAGGAGCTACAAGATGACTTTACAAATAGCGATGTTATCTTGTGCTGTCACTTTTACTGTGTGCCAGATAATGTTTCTGCACTGGAATTTGGGAATGTGGTGTATCTGAGTACTTACACATCCATGCATGGTGGTTACAATGGGAGATAGCTAGCATTGTCACCTTAGTTTTCTGCAATGATAATGTGAAAATCCTTGATTAATGCTGTTAAAGATCCCGGTAGGTACTGTTAAAGTATTGCATTTGAGTGATTAATGTGTTGTGGTAGCTGTGCGTAACCAACAAAAGTGACACTGTTGCCATCTTGTGAAGATTTAAAACTTGTGAGCCATGAAACTACAATAAAATTAGATACATCACAGAATGTTGCAAGTTTAATACAAGTATAAATACGCAATAAAAGGTATAGAATAAGGCAGAGATAGCGGCTATACAAGTATAAATACACAATAAGAGGTATAGAATAAGGCAGAGATAGTGGTTATTTCTTTTTTTTTTCTTTTTTTTTTAAAAATACTGCAGTTTTGTGTTTGCTTTTTCTTTAACTTGCTCTATTTTCTGTCCCCAGGATTGGAATCTGACATGGCACACAGAAAATCCAGACTTCACCCAGTGCTTTCAGAACACAGTCCTGGCCTGGATTCCTTGCATTTACCTATGGCTCTGCTTCCCTGTGTACTTCCTATACCTTCGTTATCATGACAGGGGATACATACAAATGTCAAACCTCAACAAAGCCAAAACGGTATGCAACTTCTTAAAATCAGAACTTACTAAGCTTATCTGGAGGTTTGAATGTATTTCTGGCTATGTTTTAGCACACTGTTTTTGTGGAGCATTACTCTTGGCCTGTGTGCGCACCTCAGCTGTAAGTTACTCGTTCTACTTGTGTTTGATTTCCAAGCTTAGTGTGTTTCTGTTGCCCTTTTATCAGTAGGCTTTCTGAAATTTACTCTGACATATCAAAAAAAGCATGCAAATCCTTTGTAAGACCAGTTGGAGAAGACTATTTTAAGTCAACTCAATCTCGAGGCCTTTATTTCAATAATAAAAATAATTTGTTATCCCATCAGCTCCTTAAGTTAATGCAGCTTAGATTTCTAGAGCTGCTGCAGGTGTTTTATTCCACCTCTATTGTAAAAGAGGTACTTAATGTTTTCTTGCCTTTTTTTTTTTGTTCCTGTAGAATAAGTGAAAAGTTTTGAGAAAGACTATAATAGCATGGTGGATTGGAGAGATTTTCTCTGCAATCTGTTATTCGGGAGTGAGATTCACCAGCTTTCTGCTTCATAACACACTGAATTATATGGTACTAAAAATTAGTATTTACTGAAAATTAGTAAATCTTTTTCTTCTTTTTCTTCTAGTGGGGATCCAATACATAAAGCCAAATTACTTTTTTTTTTTTTTTGGGGGTGCATGTTGTGGAATTGCCCAAAAGAGATGATCTGTTTGACTCCCCTTCTACTAACACGTAACATCTAGTGTTCATGTATATATTGTGCTGCCTGATTTGTGTGAACTGATGTATAAAATATGCTTGTGTATTGCAGGCTTTGGGCTTAATACTGTGGATAGTCTGCTGGGCAGACCTTTTCTACTCTTTCTGGGAAAGAAGTCAAAATATTTTTCGAGCTCCATTTTTTCTTGTTAGCCCTACAGTATTGGGTATAACAATGGTAAGTTCTATTATGGTCTTTGTTCATGCAAAGCCATAAGCAATAGCATGCATCTTAGTGTTATTCACAGTATTGCAATTCTTTAAGCTACAGTCTTTACGTACAGACTTAATATGCAGTTGAACTGTGAACTATTGACTCTGAAGTGTCTGCTTTCTTTTAATAAAAAAATGAGAAACCCCTCCAGCCCAGCTGTGCCCAGTCCATTGCATGCCAGCATGCAAGCCAGAGCCTTAGTTTGGTAGGCTTGAGCTACCGTTGAGTTGCTTGACTCAAGTGTGGGGTGGAGGAATCAAGTCGAGAGGACTTATCAAACCTATGTAATACAAATCATACTGAACTTGGTAAAAGACTGTCAAAGGCATCACATTATTAAGTATCTTATTACAAACTTTTACACATAACTTTCTTTAGTGCAGGTTTTCTTTGTTGCATTTGATGGCACGGTGGAAAGTCTTAAATGCCGCATGAGGCACGTGGGTGTCCTAGCTAACTCTTCCTACCTGGGTGCGCAGGTATTGTCTGTTTTCACCCCAGACTCTCTGCAGCCTGTATTTCAAGGGAAATGCCTTGCTATTCCTTTATTGTCAGTTGCCTTACATTTATCACAGACTTGGGACACAAGAACCCCAACAGCAATACAAAAACAAACAAACAAAAACCCAACAGCCCTGAAACATACTGACAGATGCAAGAGCTGTTAAATAGTTTGTGGTCATTTAATAACACAGTTTTCAAGCTTTTGTCAGGCTGATGGAAAATGCATGTTGCAGCAGCCAGGTGAGATTACTGAGTTGTACCAGCTTCCTAAAAGACTCTGAAAACACACAAAATACAGAAATAGAGTAGTATTTGGTCAGTGTTGTTGGGTGTTGTGGCTTGTATGGAAAGAAATTTTTTATTTTAAAAAGGATTGGTCAGGAAATACTTGGAAAGGGTATAGTGTCACTATAATTGCATGTTGATTTGTGATGTAGAACCAGAAAAGAAATAGACTGGCAGCTTTTGATGGTGATTTTGTGTATGTGGTCGTTTACTTCTGTGTAATACATATTCCTTTTCCCTTTTTTGTCCACTTCCTATCTTTACTGCTCTAGAGAATTTCCTATTTAAATATAATTTTGAATTACACTTAAAATGTCTGGGTGTTACCATGTATGGGAGGTACTGGATTTGAAATGTTAAATGAGCACACTTTAACATGATACCTTGTATATGTGTATAATGTATTGCAAAACTTGAAATATTTCACAAGCTTTATCTTACTTGTCCACAGTTACTTGCCACATTTTTAATACAATATGAAAGAATAAAAGGAGTCCAGTCTTCAGGCATAATGATGATTTTCTGGCTCGTCTCTCTGTCGTGTGCCATAGTGGTTTTTAGATCCAAAATAATACATGCCTTAAATACGGTAAGTGACTGCTAGTGTCATTCAGTTGAAAATAATCCCAAGTGCTGCAGCAATAGAGTAGTTGCTTGCTAATTATGCCAGTCAAGTCAGTTAATGATCCATTCAGCATACCTTCATTCCTTGGGTTATGAAGGCAAACCAAGCAGGACTTAATGGCCCTTGTTTTGAAATGTTAGCAAAATTCATGGTGATCCTAACTGCGGCAACCATTGCCAAGAATATTCTGCTAGCTGCTCCCGAAAGGAGATGTGTCTACTTGAGTACAATAAAAGTGTATAATTTTTGATATGAAACTGTTCTGGGAGCTGACGTTGGCTTCCTGTTGATTATACAGTGGATTTCCTGAAACACTTGGTTTGATGACCTCATCTGCCGAGACAAAATGAAAGTCTACAAGTGAAATACTTTTGTCGGTCTGCTTTATAGTAAGGCCACCTCAAATGTCAGATTAATTGTGGAGCTGCCTGAAAATGGTGCATCACTTTTATTTCATGAAACCTTTAACCCATGTTGTGAATTTTGAGAACTTTCAGCCAACTTTTGCCTTTAGCTGTTGGGAGTGGGATTTTACTGGTGGGTGGGGTTGTGTGTCCATCTGTCCCTGGGCTTTGATTTCTCTGGATTATGCTTGAGGTATCAGTCCCGGTCTAAAAAATGGAAGAACCTCTAGAATTTGAGCACACCACCACAAACTTATCTAAATGCTGCTCCTTTGATTCTTATTTTCTGTGTGCATATTAACAAATTTGCTTTGAGAACTCCTTCCTATCCAGTGCGTAAATGCCTTGCTCCTGTAAAGAATACCGTAACTTCAAATTGGGGCATGCTGTGTTGGTACAAATTGTGTCTTAAAGAGAACCTCTCTACAGAAGAGGTTCATGCTTGTATGTTTATGGCAGTGATTGATTCAAAATAAATGATATCTTTCATCTCCTCCTCCCTCTCTTTACCTTCTCTTTACCAAAATAACTTAATTTGCACTTGACTTTAGTTTGCGTGGGGGTAGGTAGTGTAACATTTATGTAGTTTGCAGAATTTACAGTAAGGAGCTGTTTTATGTGTAATAGTAACACATTTTAAAATAATTCCTCAAGCCTTCTAATTGGAATATTACCTTCCTTTGCAGGGTGCTGAAGTGGATGCATTTCGTTATGTTACCTTCTGCTTCTACTTCCTCCTGTTATTTGTACAGCTCATCCTGTGTTGTTTTCCAGAACGACCACCTTTGTTTTCTGAAACCGTAAATGATCCTGTAAGTGTTGAGTCTATACTAAGTGCTGAGTATCATATATGCAATATTCTGTACAATGAGTTATAGGGCCATAGTCTCCCAGATTCACATCTTGTTGACCGCTTTGCAATAGAGTGTTCTTTCTGCTCTTTAGTTGGTGATGCAAAAGACGAAGCCTGTGACATACAAAACAGGGTGGGTAGTATTTAAGAGAAAGAGCAAAAATACTGTTTCAGTCATCCCTGAATCGCATTCCTGAAGGGTAAGTCATAGGTATTTATATACAGTAGTGCTTCTGGCAGTTGGTGGGAAGTACTGATTTGAAATGCTGTCCTCCTAGTCACCTGATGCCGTTCAGTAGGCAGTAACTCAGGACGTGTTTTCCCTTCCTGTTGAAGGTGGGGAAGAATCTGCACCTGGAAAACTTGTGAATCTGGAGAGATGCATTTGATTTCCGTATTCACCTCTCGTGTCAAGCAAAAATGTAACCAGCTCAGTTGCAAGAGCAGCTGACGTTAGAGGGTGGTCTGGATGTAGAAATTTGATTTTTACCTAGACATGATCTTCTTTGCATGTGTTCTTAACTACACGCGCTAGCTATGCGGCATGGCCCCGCAGCAACCCGAGGGATGCTGTGTCCCTGCACAGCCCCAGGCCGGACCTTCTGAGTCATGGTGGGGCCAGACCTGTCGCTGCCGGGACTCTGCACATGCCAGGTCTGGAAACCTCGTTCTGTCATCTTTTATAAGGTGTAATTCTGGTTTGGGGGATGTTAGGTGGCACTGGCTGACGAAGGTGTGAAATGCATGAGGGGGGAGATAAATGTTGCTGTTGTACCTGTGGAAAAGGTCTGTAACCAGCTGCACTTATCAAGCTCCTCAGTTGCCGTCTCTGTCGCAGCCGGCGTGCTGGCGGTGCTCTGCAGTACCTCTGCGCTCTGTGCCTGTCTGCCTGGAGGGGAGAGCGTGCTGCTGAGGCTTGGGATCCTCTTCATCTCTGGGTTCTTTTCATCTCGTTCAGGAATGAAATGTATTTGACAGGGTACTGTGGATTTATGGAAACCGTCTTTTCTGCTTTGATCATGGTTACAAGAATTACAAGGTGCTTTGAGACCACAGTGGTTTGGTTTTGTGTTCTAAGGAGTTTTTCTAGGAGTGCCTCTAGGAAATAGGGCAGGCTTCAAATTTTAGCCTCCTTTTTTCATGAGTGGTGTGTTTGTTGAATGTTATGGTGGCGAAAAGAACAAAGCAAGTCATGTTAGTCAGTCTTAAATTCTGCTTTATTCCCTTCTGCCAAGCATTTCCAAACCAGAAATGTTTGTAAGTCTTGAGTAAAATCTTAGCATATGTTTACTTAAGCAAAAAAAAAAAAGTACAGTGAAATTTCTAAGATCTAGCTGTTGATGTATATAGAAGTCAAACAATGTGTTTTGTCTCTTGATTTTGCTTTGTTTAAATTACATAAGTCCAGACTTGTTACAGCTTGCTGTCATCATTCTATCTGGCATGAATGTCAGTAGGATTAATACTTCTTTGTGTGATAAATATTTAATTTTATCAAAAATAGTATTATTTTAACAGTAATCTAATGTGGTTTAATGTTTTAAACTTTTGCTTTATGCAAATGAAGTCCAGTTTTTGGTAGTACAAGATCTAGTGGAGTCTTGAATTTAGAATTTCCACCTGCAAGTAGATTAAAAAAAAAGTATAAAGGAAAAAAGTAATACAGCATTTCATGTAAAGAACATTTTGAAATTTTGTTGAAAGTATGCCCTGTGTTTGCAGAAGTAGAAATCTGTCAGGAATGTTGGCGCAACTGAAGGCTGAAAGTACCGCCCCCCCGCCCTTTTTTTTTTTTAAACTTCTCATGAGTTTAAAAACTTGTATTTATTCATTAAGCAATGGCATTGGATTTGCTTGCAATCGTTTTGTGGCAAGTGTTTAAATACTTTGGAAATGTGGAACTCTTACCCTCTTTCAGAAAAAGCATCTGTCTCATACATACTCATTGTTCCCTACAAAGCTGCAGAAAAAGTTGTCACGTGAAGAAGAGGAAATGCACGACTCCGTTTCGTATAGCTGATGACAACACACTTCAGTATAGCTTTGTGGAGAAGCCAAGTTACAAACATGAGTTGAAAAATGGAAATCTTGGAAACGCTTGTCTCTGGCTGTTTTAATTGCAGTACTCTAATGATGTTTGGTGACTTTTGTAGCTGGAAATACCTGAGCTGCTCCAAATATAACTGACAATAAAAACCTAGTGGTTTGTGTGCCAAAGGAGTGGCTGGGTTCAGCATTCTTCAGTTGCTGTTCAGAGCAGTGAAAGAGGGAATTCTGCTGGAATTCTGCAAGTAAATCACCTTCAGTGCCTTTGAAATGAATCCAGCTTTCCTTTTTGCTGTTTTAATCCAACTGCATTACGAGAGGATGTTAACCTGAAGGATGGTTAAGACAGCCGTCGCACTGGATGTAGAACATCAGCTAGCTGCACGCCTTTATCGATACTTAAGTTTTCCATGGTTATTGATAAATGAGATGCAGAGATTTTGGGGGCTGTTTTGGGATGCTTTTATGGAGTTTCATTTTTTTTTTTTTCATTTGTACATCTGTTTTGGAGCAGTCACAGCACTGAACTGCTAGAACAGTAGAACTGAATTCTTCATTTATGACTAGCTCTACCCAATTAAGATATTTATGCGCTTATATAGTAGCATAACTTGCACTGATCATGACATCTTGAGAGATTGTCTGGCCTGCACTGTCTTACAACATTCCCTCCACTATTTGTTGCGTTGTCGATGCGGAGCACTGCTATTCCTGTGTCCCAGTGGTCTAGTCTGCTGGCAGCCCTGAAGTTGTGTTTGTGTTTTCTGAACAAGCTCTCAACAGCATAAATGACAAGTTTAGTAATATGAAAAAAAAGTATTATAAACAAAAGGAATTTCAGAAGCATCTTTGCCTCTTGGTTTGTTTCTTTCGGCCCTGTATCAGTCACTTTGTATGTGGATTGATTTCTTTTTCTGTATTTCAGAATCCATGTCCAGAGTTCAGTGCTTCTTTTCTCTCCAGAATCACGTTCTGGTGGATCACTGGGTAAGATCAAGATGATGCATAAAGCACCAGTTAAAATTAGATGGCATTTTACGATCCTGCTTTCAGAGTTAAATTAGCAATAATAATGCAATAATAATTTTGGTTGTTTTGGTTGATTGGTTTTGTAGATAGATTAAATTGATATCTTTTTTTTTTCCACCAAATTTGATTAATCTTTTTTACTTCTTTTGTAGGATCTTTTTATTTTTAAATTTTGCCAGTATTTATTTAGTATGTTTGCTGAAAGGATATAATAAATTTTCTTTGGAAAATATAAGAAGGTAGAAATTATCTGCTGTACTTGGAAACTAAGACATTCAAATCTGCTAGCTCTTTTTGTCTGATAGGTTCTTTTTTTCCCCATTAACTTAGCTTTAGTTATGCTGTATGACTTGATCACAACACATGTTCTTGTGAGTTAAAACACAGAAACATGTAAAATAATATTGGTGTATAGTTGTGGTTGGTACATGGCCAGAGTTCCAACACAAAGCTAGATCAAAGGAATTGCTTTGTAAAATTAAACGCTAATAAACATTTTGAAACTTGGTAGGCATGAGGATATTAATTGCCTGGCTGATTTTCAAATGAGATCACGTCATCCTTTCTTTTATTTTCCCTGAAATTTGAATTCAGTGGCATATCCTGGATCCTTAGATGTTTTGGTGTCTAATTCTCACAGTAAAGACAAGAGGGTGTATTTTTTAGCATCTGGACCTGTGTTGCTACAGGTACTAACTCTTGCATGTGTTTTTGCGAAGAGCTGTCTCTGTTTTGGGCGTGGCTGTAAGGACCACTGTCTTATGACATATATATATACACACACACACACATCTCTAGTGTTCTTAAATATATAGTGCTGATTCTTTCAAATACAGGTTGATGGTTCAGGGTTATCGGAGACCTTTGGAAGCCAAGGATTTGTGGTCGTTAAATAAAGAGGACAAATCGGAGGAGATAGTGCCAGGTTTGGCTAGAAACTGGGCAAAAGAGTGGGCAAAGACCAAGAGGTAAGTTCAGTTATTATCCTGGCTGGCAGTTCTTCCAAGATGTGGAGATTCAAAAGCTCAAGTTACTCAGCCTCTAGCCTGCTTTTGTAAGGCCCAAGTGGCAGCTTTGTATTTGTCCTTAAGTACGTGCAGAACAGAACCAAGTAGGGTGTTGTGTGTCCTTTTCATAAAGAGCTGCATCAGGTGTCCCCTAGTCTTTATGATCCAAAGCTGATTATTGTTCCTTCTGATGTGTGGTTTTTCCCTGGGGAGGGAATGTTTTCACACAGTCAAATCTCAGTCACACAATGTAGGAGCTTGGGCTCCCTCTGTAGTTAGTGAAGTCTCGGGAGGGCAGTTCAGGGTGTAAAAGTGAGCAGCTTGTTTCTTTCCTTTGACTATATAGGGAGTCTGGGCACCTAAGCCAGATGACTAAAATTAGAAAGACTGCATGCCTGCAGTTTCCATCCTACTTTTCATCATCCTTTACTGCAGCAAATAGAAGTACCTTTTCATTGAAGGAAAATAGCTTGCTTGCTTACACAGTGTATTTTTACATACAGCTTGTCCTCAGAAGTTCGGATGTAGTTTGGCATAAGCCAGATGTATGAAATGAATGTGTTGAGACCGTTGAGGTGACTTGGCATAAATCTGACTGCAGTCTTTTAACTCCAGTGATACAGTGAGGCCTTGATTATGATGAAGGTTCAGCATACTGGGTTCTGGAATGATAATATACTTTGCTCTGTATGTTTAACACAGGTTATGGCCCTATTCCTCATTGCCCAGGGCAGATATATAGGAGAGATTCAACAGGGATGTTACTGATCCCTACAAAGACCATTTCTGAATGCCCAGTTCATTTAGCTATTGTTGTATGATTAAAAAGATGTTTGAATGACCATAAAACCCAGTTAAACTATTAAGAAGGGCAATAAACAGCTCATAAACATCTCATTTGCATACCATGTGTTTTTTCAAGTTGGCTTTATGCTCAAATAAAGGCTATGTTATACACCTACTCTTATTTCAGGCAATCGCTAAACATGTTATACTTGCCCAAGAAGCAGCAAAAATCAAGTGACTCAAATGGTGATGTGACAGAAGAGGCTGAAGCTTTGATTATAAAACCGACTCAGAAGAGCTCTGAAGCGTCTTTATTCAAGGTGTTATATAAAACCTTTGGACCATATTTTTTCATGAGCTTCCTGTTTAAAGCTGCGCATGATCTCTTGATGTTCGCAGGCCCAGAAATTCTGAAGTAAGACCTATATACTTTATTATTGTATTAAAAGTACGTGGACAGACTTTAAAACACACTGGTATTTCACTCACCAATCTGCTTTGCCTTCAGCTGTTTCAATGGGGAAGAGTTGTCAGGCAAGTTAGAGACCATGCACACAGATGATTTTGGTCCGTTGGTTTTCAAGTTATAACATCAAGCATTAAATGTTTGGCTTTTTGTGTTCCCAACACTAGGAAGGCCAAGCAGGAACATAATCAACAATAGCAGGAGAGTTTATTTAATTCTAAACTGTAATGATTGTGTCACAGTGTGTGAAGCAGCAGAGAGCTAAGGGAGTAGGACAAGTTGTATTGCTTTAAGGTGAGAAGAAGTAACTGTAAGTGGTTGTATTTTAGCTGGAGGAACATGAGCCTTTTTAGTGTTGCTCCAAGAGAAGGTTTGTGATACTTAACAATGTACTACGTTTGTTTTTTTTTTTAAGGAGGAGGGAGTGATGTTTGCTGGTATAAAATGATCTCTGGTTTCTAAGAGTTTGCTTAAGTGTTTTGTCTAAGTTTGGTACTTTGAGTGCTTGCATTACCCATATAACTTTTGGAATAATCTAACATTGTGACCGTGACATCTCGTTCCGATTTGCATATATGAAGAGAACTAATTCCTTTCTCCACAGATTGCTAATCAACTTCGTAAATAACAAAGCTGCCCCAAACTGGCAAGGCTACTTCTATACAGGGCTGCTGTTTGTTTGTGCCTGTCTCCAGACACTGATTCTTCACCAGTATTTCCATATTTGCTTTGTAACTGGAATGAGGCTCAAAACAGCTATTGTTGGTGTAATTTATCGAAAGGTAGGCATTTCTTTAAATATATGACAATACCAATTGCTGACTGTGCCAATGCATCACTTATGTCTGAATAATTAAAGCAATTAGGAGACTCTGTTAGGCTGATTCCCAGCTCTTAATAGAAATAAGAGAGTATCTAATTTATAAATAAAAGCCTTTAAGATAGAGCAATTTTCTAATTTACTAGTTAAAGTTCAGGCACCTTCTTCTTCCCCCTGCCAAACAAGAAACCTTGTCTCGTTTAGAATAGGGGTGTGAAACTGCTTCAGTTTGTGCAGAAATTAAGATGCACCTACGCTTACAGCTTCATTTGGGACTTAGCAGCAGTGCCACCTCATCTTGGAATAAGCTGGAATGTTTTGGAAAGCTGTGGACTGATTGCTCTGTGCGAGAGAAATGTGTGACAAGGAGTGAAGATCCTGCTTCTTACACTAAAAACCAAAACAAGCAAACAATACACCTCCCCAGCAAGAAAACCAACCGACCAACAACCCTAACCCCAAAGACTGCTTGTTGTCTTTAATTAGTTTAAACCCAACTATACAACTTGCATTTTGTAAGATGTGGAGGGTAAGCAGAATAGGGAGCAGGAAAAGGATTGCTTGTAATTTTAAAGATGAAGATCTGTAAGGCAATTGAATTCTGTGGAGAAAATGCAAATGAGTCAGTATTCCTTCATGTTGCCTTAATTTTTTTTTTTTATTCTTAATCTGCACTTAGGCACTTGTTATTACAAATTCTGCTAGAAAGACTTCTACTGTGGGTGAGATTGTGAATCTCATGTCTGTGGATGCTCAGAGATTCATGGACTTGGCTACCTATATAAACATGATTTGGTCTGCACCTCTCCAGGTGATATTAGCACTGTACTTACTCTGGCAGGTGAGTATTATGTGTGTTTCCTGTTGTGACTTTCGCAACATGCTGCTTTGTGTGATCATGACTACAGACAGCTGGTGTTCAGAGCACTGGAGGGTTTACAGAAGGGTGGAGAAAATGCTGCTTGTTTAGAAGCCATTCAGAGCTGCTTTTATCACTGCTGCCAAGAAGTCAGGCAGGAGGTTCTGAATTTGCCCATCTGAGTGCATGTGGGGAGGATGCAGGTGGGAGCTACTGTCTTTTGGGGGACTGCAGCACCTCTGGTATCTCACTTGTAACTTGACTCAAAGAAGAGTGGGCTTGGTTCTACGTGCTGAGAGTCACCTCAGCGTATGAGATGTTTGCTGTTTCTAGTCCAGTCAGTCACCAGGCTGACTCTTCCTTATTCTCACTGGCAATCAGAAAGGTAACGAAATTCCCCAAGAAGTCAGGGAATCACTCCTTCCATGATTGTCTACTTCGGAACAACAGAAAAACCAGCAAAAACTGGAAAACATAAATCTCTGTGTGTATAGATAGATGTATATAGAGAGGTATAGAGCAATATAGATCTCTATATATGGGGTCTATATATGTATGTTTATTTCAAAAATCAAAGCACATAAATATCAACCCAAGCCCCTACTTGATCCTCCACTTCTTCCCCCAGGCTGTTCTTGAAAAGGGAAGAAGAGGTTGAAAAGCTATTTCAGAATGCTTTTCTGTAGCATATGCAGTGGTTTGACCCAAGATTTTTAAAAATGAGTTTGAATAAAAGTTTACAATGAAGTGCTTTTCAGAATTTAGGTCCTTCGGTGCTGGCAGGCGTGGCTGTCATGATCCTTCTGGTTCCGGTAAATGCTGTGATGGCGATGAAGACAAAAACCTATCAGGTTAGAACCTTTATATATATGACAGTGCTTTTAAGAAACATGTTCTGTTTTTTCACTTGTTCCTGAGGTTTGTCCTTTTAATTCCCCACCCCCCATTTATCCCTCAAAAAAAGGGAAGAGAAAGAGGTCAGAGGCGTTGTTTATTACGCATACATAAAGTCACGTGTTTTTCAGCCTTACAGAATATCTGTACATAATGGTCTAAAAATTATGCAGTAGTTAAGACCAAGGTAGTAGGTTAGCAAGCTTCATGTAATGCGTGATGATTGGAATTAGTTTATTTTTTAATTTGCTGCCTAAGAACTAAAGTGCAAAGGTAAACTACTGTCTAATGAACCTTAATGACTGAAATATTCACATATCCAGGATGGTGGCTGCAGTGTTAGGGAGGGGTGTGTGTGTGGTTGGTTCTTGGGTTTCTGGATATTTTTTTTTTTCCCCCTGGAGGGTTAAGGAGGAAGAAATCTTAGTTGTTTGCTCTTCTTGATCCCTAGTCAATTCTATTTAGAGAGGATCCGTTTGTTACAGAGAGTGCACATAAGGAAACGTTGACTCAAACTCTTATGTTTCCTAGTGTAAAAACTACTTCCAGCAGCCCCACTATGTGCTTTCTGGTACAGGCTTCACTACTAACTGAATTTACTGAATGTCGGAGCAGATTGATTTATTTAACTGAAACCTTTATCTCTAGATGTTCATCAAAATATAGGACAGCGTTTGGTTCCTACGTGGGATCTCTAGCCTGTCACAGCCATGCTGCTCCTGGTAACAGCTGTCTGGGCTGGCTGTACCGGTGCAGACTACTGACTCTGCCTCGTGCTGTGTCAGAGCATTGTTTCAGCTTCGCACTGCCCTCATTAAAATACTTACGAAGGCAGAAACTTCCGAAGAATGGACTTTCTTCTTATGGCTGAATGGAAAGCTTTTTGCCTTAGTGTACTATCAGAAAGTCATTGATAGTGCTGAAAATGAAGCAAACCTGAGTTTTGTCTAAGGTTAGATGCAAACTTTGCATCACTGAAGCTTGATTATAGTTGCTTATTTTTTAACTGCAGATTGTACCTGGAGGAACCTTAGTCCCAGGCCTCCCTGGTGCAGGGTTAATCCCATTTAAACCAGTGCCACAAATTGTTTTGATCTTGGTTTGGATTTTAGTTGCATGAAGCATTCTTTTAATTGGTTTAAAACGTCTCGTTAATTCTGCATATTTGTTTGTTCAGATAGCATCTCAGATTTCCTGCTTGGGAAGCTAGTAAGCTTTTGATGATAATGAGGTAAATTTTGCTATTGCGAAATACAAAAGCTCAGAACTTTGTGAGTCTGCCAAGTATTGTGCTCTGCTAATTATTTTTTGCAATGTTGTTTTTAGGTGGCTCAAATGAAGAGCAAAGACAACAGAATTAAGCTGATGAATGAAATTCTCAATGGGATTAAAGTTCTGAAACTTTATGCTTGGGAATTAGCCTTCAGAGAGAAGGTATTAGAGATCAGACAGAAAGAACTCAAAGTCCTAAAAAAATCTGCTTACCTTGCTGCAACGGCAACCTTCACTTGGGTTTGTGCTCCTTTTCTGGTAAGTGAAACAAATCTAGAAGTCTGCTCTCCTGTTTGGGATCACGCTTCTGAGGCACTGCTTGAGAACTTTGTTTTAGTTTTTAATGAGTGGAGCAGTCAGAATGCCCTCCGCAGCAGTGGGAAATTGAATGCTTCTGTCTCCACTTCTCTATGAAAAGGCAGTACTGTTTGTTTGTTTGTTGGGTTTTTTAAACTTAGTAACATCCAAGTTGGATGTATTCTAGAAGCTAATGGCCAAAGTATTTAAAAATAAAAACCTCCTCTATTTTTGGTGGTGTACTTGAGGAACCTGAGATTAAATGTACTGTCAGACTTAGAAGAGGTTACTAATGCGCACCATACCGTCCAGGTGGTAGCTGTGGCTGACAGAGTAAAAGTTCCCTTATTTCAGCATCTTTCCCAGAGCAGCAGATCCTTAGACAAGAGTCCTTGATGGAATGGGACATTGTGCACGGAGTGTAGCTCTGGCCTGGGTTCTCCCAGCATCTGTTTAAGAACAAAGTGGAGAGGTAAAGCCATTGCGTGCCCTGGGATTGCTTTGAATTCTTATTTAAAAAAATATTCTCAATATGTGAAACATCCCCACTGTTTGTGGTTAGCTTACATTTAAACTAATAAAAGGGAGAGAAGGGTGACATCACATCAAAATTGCTTCAGACCCTATTAGAACAAGGGGCCATTGCTCTTGTCTGCAGAAGCAAATAAAAGCCATGACTACATTAGGATAAAGTATGTGCTGTTCCAGTTGAAGGTGTTTAAGTGTACTTTCCAGTCTGAGATTCCTTCCCCGCAAACATTTTTAGTGTTTACATTATGTTTTGGGATGATGAAAGGCAGAAGAAGCAGTGCCCTGGGTAGGAAACATCAGCTGCATTCTTAAGTGAATGCTTTTCTAAAAGAAGTCTGAGAGTTTTAATATAAATACATTATTAAATGAAGTTTCTAAATAAAACTCTACAGGTGGACTCTGTAATTCTGTTCTGTGCAGTCTGAGAAGGCAAATTCCCCTAACGAGTAGCTCTGTTTCAGCGCCCGTTGTGAATGCGTGGCAGTGCTCCTACACCTTAGGGGTTTGCCATGGGGCAGAATCGGTACAGCCCGAAGCACAAGCTGCTGCTTAACATCCTGTTTCTCAGATTTTTGTTCTTTTGTATATGTTGTTCTGAACTGATTGCAGAATTATTGCAAGTGCCTACCTGAAGGCACTTCCCATGGCCATGGCTCTTTAAAACATTGTCTAATAATGGTGTCAGGAAACTATTCATTTTGCAGTACCTCCCGTGCTATGTGTGCTGATAAGGGTGTCTTTCAGAGGAATGGCTGGTAGCAGGCATGCTGCTGGTGAGGTTATTCTTTGGACCCAGTCTTGTTTTTGATCTCTGTGGGAGGGCTTTCTCCCTGGGATATGGTTGTCCAAACGAAGGATTGTACAAACAAGCTACTGTACCAGGCACAGCTGAGTCAGCCTCTGTAGGAAGAACAGAACATACATGTCTTCACAGCACTCAGGTTTTTAACGGAAATGCTCATATCTTCAATGCATGCTGTGCTTAGAGGAGACCAGTTTCTTAAGCATTTGAGCTAATTGTTTCAAGTCTGGTGGGAGAAGGAATGCCAAAGGTTAGCCTACCTTGATTTCTTGTTTTAAGTGGCAGTCTGTGGGAAAGACTTGCTGGACCTTGTGATATACTGAAGTATGAGTGTTGATACCATGGAAGAAAATGGTTTTACTTAGTTTAATTTTACAATAATTTAATCAACACACTTAAAAATGTAAATGAGTATATGGATTTTTTTAAAATAATTTTTTACCTTATGATTGATGATAACAATGGTTCACTGTCATTTTCTTCTTCTACATGGATCCTAAGCTTTTCTGTTGTGAACTATTTTAAGTACTATAAGGCTTCATCTTTGTAACGCAGTAACGTTTCAAGTTTCTTGGAAAACAATCTGCCGTGATAAAGTGGGCTGTACTTGGAAGTCTAGGGCTGTGGTAGTCTCTCCAAAATATAAAATGAGTTAGCACTGGGGTGTTTCTCACTTTTCTGTCTATATGTGCTACTGATCCAGTATCTGGTACTGTGGGGAGCACCTTAAAACTGAAAGAGAGCTGCAACAAAGGCCAGGGATCATTCCTCTCACCCTTCTCATGCAGTGTGACCACAAATCGCCTGGGACATTTGTGGTTTCACCCTTGCTATGTGAAGAAAGTGAGCACTTGACACTTTTCCAAGAAGAGCCATCAGCTACTTTTTACAACAATAGATTTAAATCAAATGTTTGTTTTGCAAAAAGCCTTATCAGGAACAAGGAAGTTACCAGACCACTGCTCTTTCTTTGATTTGTAGCCCTCTGATTCCAGTTGCCAGACTGTGTGACTCCTGAGCTAGTGGCTGTAAAGAATGTTACCCTAACTGTAACCATTACGCTTTGTTTCAGGTTGCCTTGTCCACGTTTGCTGTGTATGTGACAATAGACAAGAACAACATCTTGGATGCTCAGAAGGCATTCGTTTCCCTAGCGTTATTCAACATCCTCAGGTTTCCACTGAACATGCTCCCTATGGTTATCAGCAGCATAGTAGAAGTAAGGCTTCCGTCACTGACGTGTGTTTCCACACACAAGTAGTCGCTGGGTGGAAAAATTACATTCCTGTGCTTAGAGAATAGAGAATGCCCACTGGTGAAATTCAGCCACCTCAGAAAGGGAGCTTTTGCGTTTCGTCTGTGTGAAGTGCTGTGCAAACAAAACTATCAATCCCGGTTAGGGTGGATGGGTGTTCCTGAAATCAGCCCTATTTCTTGTGGTTTGGGAAGTGTGAGTTTGATGACTATCCAAGAAACTATGCAATGGATTTAAGGAGGGATTAGGAGTGTATAATAATCATGTAATGTACATGTGGTGCAGAACAACAAGATCTTAAATGTAATGAGTGGAGTAAAGATCCCTTTCCCATGCAGGCCAGTGTCTCCTTGAAGCGCCTGAGGGTGTTCCTGTCTCACGAAGAGTTAGATCCAGACAGCATAATCAGGGGTCCCATCGCAGAGGGTGAGTTTCTTTTCCTTTTGAAATTCAGTGTGTGCAGGTTTTGGGTGGCTTTGCAGTGTTTCTTTTGCTTTCTGTAACGCATTTACTGCATTTTGGTGGATTTCACTGATAAATTTTAGCCAGAAAGCAGAGAAGGGAGTTTGTAAAATGCAAATTATATAACGTTTCTACCACCTTCTCAGGTAATTTCTCTCCTCTCCCTAACTCCAGTGTCCAAACTACAGAATGGTTGCATCCAGATACGGATGGTCACTCTAAAGATTACTTGTTAGACTGTTTTAAGTGTAGCCATTTGAAATTTGTAGGCAGTTAGCAGACTGATAATTAATACCGTGCCAAACCCCAGCATTTTGGAGAACAATCACGTAACACTGCAGCACCCTTGAAGGAGAAAGGATAAGTCCCAGTTCTGGCAAATGCCTCTACTTCGTGTTTTGTGCAAAGAGTGTTACTCTCAGCATCACTCCCACTCTATCCGGTGTTGCCGGTCTGCTTATATAGAGCCGTGTAGGAAATAGATAAGCATGAAGGCACATTTACTGAAAAACTAATGCCCTTTTTCTTGCAAAACAGAACTTGACTTTAACTGCATCAGTAATTTCTAAATTATTTTTCTTACTTCCTTTGTACAAAGAGAGTGAAATCCCCATCACTCCCTCATGTGGTTAGCTGAGTTCTATATCACTTTAGTCACTTGGCTTTCTGGTAAGCAGTCATCTGCTGTATTTTTTTTTTAATTTTTTTTCTCTTCATCTTCCTTTTGGTAATATCTCCTCCCCTTTCTTAGCTAATAACCATGACTACATTGTGAGCAATGTATCTTTAGTGTGGGGGTTTTTTTTTTTGGTCCATAATGGATTGTAATTGCATACTAATGTAAATGCTTACCTAGGCTAAGTATTTATTGCATATTTGGTTGAATTAGGAGTGGTATATTTTGAATCGTCACTGTAAAAATCTACAGGTGCCAGTACCATGTGACATTTCACTGAACAGTATTTTTGGTCAAAGTTATTTTATTTGGTAGTTTGATTTATTTTGCTCAATCATTCTTGTAGTAGCTTGGCAGCGCACATGGAATTGGCAGTTTAGCTGAAGCTTCCGTTGAAGCACGAGGCAGATTGAGGCTGCTAGTTTCTTGAACTGACTTTGCAGTGCTGCAGTGGAGATGCTGGATAAAGGAGAATGCAGCTGAATAAGTCAGGGTCTTTGTATAGTCGACATTCATGTACCTCCTGGTTACTGAGTAAGTGTAACTTCAGAACCTCTGCTGTCTGGATAAATTCAGTACAAGCAGAACACAAGCTTTTGGTAAGCAGTGGGTGGTGGTTGTGCTGGGAAAGTAGCTTTATACCTCTGCTTATGTGTGCTTAGATTGACTTCTGTGGCACGCATGATGCAGAGCACACAATTAGCTGCTTGCATTGGCATTTTTATAAATACAAATTTTCTGTTTGTCAGCTGAAGGAAGCATTGTTGTAAAGAATGCAACATTTAGCTGGTCCAAAAATGATCCTCCTTTACTGAACAGGTAAGAATTAGTACCCTTCATTGCACTCCATAATCTTGTTGCATGATAAATGATCTGTATTTGAATTATAAAATCTATATGCAGAAGAGTTTGTTGCCTTAAAGGAACAGGAGAACAAATAATATTTGTTCTATATCTTTTTCTTTTTTTTTTTTTAAGCCAGGGGCTTCATGAACTAGAGGAATTAACAAAGTGTGTTGTATGTGTGGAATGCATGAGGTGTAATGGGTGGAGAGAAAGCCTGAGAGATTTCAAGCTGTTGCTAGGTGCTGCAGATGGGATGAGCTCCATCTAGAGGATGCAGCCAGATTAGCCCCTCGTAATTATCCCTAGTCCCTCATGTTTGCACTGTGTCCTCAGAGTCTTCCCTTTAAAGTCTTGTTCTCGCTGAACTGTAGCCATCCTTGGTTCCCGTGCTGGAGAAAACCAGTGAAGAACCTTGCAAATGGTATGACTAACAAAGTAACTGGGGAGATGCAGCTACAAGCCCTGTCTTCCCCGTGCCCTGTCCCCTGCTTTAATTCTGGCTGCTCGCTCTTGGGCCTTAAATTGCATATTCTTTGGGACAAGGAGGCTGTTTGGGAAGCATCCATTGGTGTTTACAGAATATTTGAGAGAAATATTGGACAGGTAGTGTCACAGTAGTCTTTTTTTTTTTTTCTTCCCCTTTTGACTATTTGCATATTGGATGTTATATCCTAAGTGTAAGAAGAGCTGGGTGTTTTCTGAATGAGAGGTTTACATTTTCAAACAGTTAAAGTTTCTGTGCTGCATCAGCATTTGCAGTAGGTGTTCGCATTGCATCTGGCTTTATATGGGCTGTTCAATAGACTGTTCAACTACCGGGATGTGCCAGCAAGCAAGGCTGAATTATGTGCGCTTTATTTCAGCATTAATTTCACTGTTCCTGAAGGCTCCTTGGTAGCTGTTGTTGGTCAAGTTGGCTGCGGAAAGTCTTCATTGCTGTCTGCATTGCTGGGGGAGATGGACAAAAAGGATGGCTACGTGGTTGTCAAGGTGTGATGTGTCTGAAGAATTGTTCAGCTGTTTGTGCCAGAGGGATTCTAGGCTTCCAAGTGCTGGGAAGAGGGGAAGAGACAGCCTTTCAAATGAATGCATTTTTTAGCCTGATTTCCTGGCAAGCCATGTATACGCTTTAGCCTGTACTCTGTGTAACTGCCTGTTAAGCCTCCACCTAGCAACTTCTAAATCTGTTGGTTTCAGATTTACCCAAAAATACCAAATGGTGGAGCTCTCAGAGATAAGTGTTGTGGTGAGTCTTGTTGACAGCCAGGTATGAGGCAGGGAGACCCTATTATAGGAACTCCAGCCTGAGGAAGAGCAGTATTGGTTCATGTCTTCTTAGACATCAGAGAATTACAGGGAGAGAGGGTACACCCAGATACCCAAACATGGGAAAAGCTGCTGTTGTAGTTTGTACTGTCTTAGACACCAGAGCTGCACAGAGCTCACAGAGGAAAAATGACCTGGAAATAAGTAAATAACTAAAGTCCTTGTTTTGAATTTTGCCATTGCTCTAATGTGTGGAAAGAGAATTATTTTAAGAGCAAAACAAATATGTTGCATTTAAAAAAATGCACATTTGGTCACCTCCAAAATTGTTCTGGAAAAATAAATAGGTGAGATCTGAATCACTGATTATTTGTGCAGAAAGAGAAAGCAGAACTAATCTTCAAAGCAAAATACTTTGCAGTAACTCAATCTCTTCCTTCGAAGTGACTTCTATATAAAAATTACTTCCCCTACTTTCTGCAGAAATCTCTTGGCAGGGAACATTCCAGATTAAATTGTTTTATGCAGAACATAATTTATAACTATATGAAAGAACTAATGGCTTTTGACATTGAGTAATTGTGCAATCGTACTCTCTTAAACAAATGTTTCCTCCAAGTTTACATTAGAGAATCGTATTTGGTTTGAAGTCCTTTATTTTCCACCAACACACTTCATTATACTCACTTGTAGAGAGGATTATAAAAATAACATTTTGGAGGAGGCAGTAGCCCAAGAACTGCTTCTGCAGCTTTGAAATGACCATAGGTTGTTTGTGAGGTAATTAGCACTGCCTGCCTCACAAAGCCCTGCTGTCGACTTTGTGCGCAGACTTGTAGTCTAAAATACTAAACAAGGAACTTTATTTTTCTTGCAGGGCTCAGTAGCCTACGTTCCTCAGCAAGCCTGGGTCCAAAATGCAACTCTGGAAGATAACATTATCTTTGGAAAGGAGATGAATGAGAGCCGGTACAAGTGTGTGATTGAGGCTTGTGCACTGCTGCCCGATATAGAGATTCTTCCTACGGGAGACAAAACAGAAATAGGAGAAAAGGTATTTAAATGCCACTCTACCATAACAGTGCTATTGCTTGTAGTTAAGGCCACATGACTTCTATTCTACTTTATCTTAAAGTTGTATTGAGTTTAAAACATTCAAAGTAGAAATCCTCTAGGATAAGAGGTAAATTTGAACAGTGTGTTTTCCTTGTCTTTAAGCCTCAAAGGGGAGGAAACCTGTCCTCTATTACAAATGCAAAAGCATCTTGCAATGACAGTTTTTAATGCCTTTAAGTTGCCATGGTCATAGAGCGGAAAAATGTATGGAAACAGGAAGAGAAGAATCTCCTGAATGCTTCGGTTTCATTTAAAACAAGCAAACAACCCCCCTCACCACCCCCAACCCCTCAAAAAAACCCTACAAAAACAACCACCACCCCAAACCTGACACTTGGTCGCAAAAACATGCAGCGTGAGGTTTAGAAACTTGCCTAGATGTTGTGCTGTGCTATGGAAGCAGGATCAGGTGTCCCCTTGCCACGTGGCCAGCGGAGTATGTGTATGTAATCTGCTTGGCGTTCTTCCCCAGAAGATCCATGCTTCCCCAGGGATCCATGCTTTGCCTGCTGACCGGTTAGAGGAGGGGTGTAGCTGCCGACCCACAGCCCCAGATTCAGTAATGGGTGCAGCTTTATCTTCCTTACTGGTCAGCACGCCAACCAAACTGGAGAGTGTGAGCAGAGTTTGTGTATTAAAACAGAGGCGGCACTGCAGAAATACAGCTGAGTAGGAAAGGAGCCTCTGAATGGACAGAGTTAGGTAGGTTGGTCTGGGTTAATTGCTTTGCAAGACTGGCAAACACTTTTTTTTGACTAGCCCCTCACTGACAGAACTTAAGAGGTGCTTGCTTTCAAGAGGACTTTGACTGTGATTGCTTACACTGTTTGGTAGTGAAATTATTCGTGATGGAGATCTGTTTCATACAGCTTTGAAATTTCTGTAATTTGCGTGAACCACCTATGACTTGTGTCTTTCACAAACTGTAGCAAGACATCTCATCTCAGGTGTAAATAAAGGATCGTATTTTCCTGTTTCCCCAGGGCGTGAATTTGTCTGGAGGACAGAAACAGCGAGTCAGTCTTGCTCGGGCGGTTTATTGTAATGCAGACATCTACTTATTTGACGATCCTTTATCAGCTGTTGATGCTCATGTTGGGAAACATATTTTTGAAAAAGTTATTGGACCGAAAGGAAACCTGAAAAATAAAGTAGGTCATAATGAGATACTCGTCTCCAGAGAATGATTTGTTTTTCTTTGAGTTCAAATGATTCCAAGTTTGTCAAGTTGCATATTCTGACTTTGTTTCAAACATCTGAAAAGTGAAAGGGTCCTTCTGAGACTTTAGAGGACCTTTATAAAACACTTAGGTTTTACAATGAAGTGTGCTGTGGTTTCTGTAATCCAAAATTCTTCAATGGAAAAGTCAAGACAAGGACAGTATTTTTTCTTAAAAATGCTGCATGCCTGTCCATTGTTATTACTGTATTATACACAGAATTCAAGCAGCAAAAGCAGTAGTTCAACCATTCTATTTACTAATTTCAGATGTTAGAAAAACTTTTTTTTTTTCCTTTCCTTTTGCTATTTAGACACGGGTTTTGGTAACCCATGCAATCAACTATCTGCCTCAAATGGACACAATTCTGGTAATGTCTGATGGAAAAATCTCTGAGATGGGCTCCTACCAGGAGCTGCTGCAGCAAGATGGGGCTTTTGCTGAGTTTCTTCGTACATATGCTAATACTGAACAAAGCGTGGAGAACAGCGGTAAGCTTACAAATAAATTCTCTTGGGATAAGCTGATGTGTGGTATGTTAAGGGAGTCACGTTAGAGGAAAAACAGTAGTAGTGGAAGGAAAGTTAAGAAATTATTATTTCTTGTGATATACGTGGAGGTGCTTCTTTCTTGAAGGCATTGAAGGCTGTGGGATTAAACACACATTCTTTCTTAAAATTTAGGAAAATGTGGAGCAGATCTGTAGTAAAACGCCTCTCAGAGCAAAAGTCAGATGGTCGTGAGATCAAGCAAAGGCCAGCTGGGGTGTACACACCTTTCGCGTGCTTGTTAGGATGTGTCGTCTTTATGCTGATAAGTCCTCTGGGAACGGGGAGGAGGAAGCAGCAGCTCGTTTCTCTGCCTGACGTCCCGGACTCCTGTTCCCACTGCGCAGCGCACTGCGCGAAGAGGCGCTGGGGAAGCAGAGTCAGGCTAGCTTGTGTGTATTTTCGGTGGGTGCTCCTGTAGCCCCTTTGGGCACCCTCAGACTTCTTGCACTCTGCAGTCTGGAGACTTCAGAGACAAAGTAACTGTGCGCTTCCCTAGGAAGTGAACAAGTGACTTATACAAAGAGTTGCCGCCTCTAATAGCCTTGTTCTTTTGGCCTTTGTCTCCTCCCCTTTCCAAGCGCATGGTAGGTTTCTGAAGGCCTTTTCGTTAACCTGACTTGACTTTTCCATTTAAATACTGAATCTTCTTTTGGAAAGTGAGACAGTGCTTTATCTTTTGCTATGCTTCTCTGCAGTTGTCTAATAAAAGGTGCTTTGCACGTCGGTATGACCCTGGTGATTCGGAGAGGACTGCAGTAACGCAGGGTTGGCCTATTTGCAGCAAACTGGTTTCTCAGTTTTGCTCAAGTGATCTTCCACCTGGGGTAAAACGTGAAAAACAGGGGCATTATTTGTCTGGTTCCTAGGGATAATATTAATTTTTATCAGATGTGTAAAAGATCACTAAATATTAATAAAAATCACAAGTTCTTAGTAATCTGTGATGGGAGCCAGGCAGAGCTAGCTGAGGGGATCTGCACACCCACTTGAAAAAGGAGGCTCCGTTATGTCTGAAGCTATGTGTTGGCAGCCTGAAAACACTTAAGCTGTGGCAAAGTAGAAAACTTTGGATGGGTGCTTTCTGGCTGGAATGCATTCTGCTTCTGCCAGGGTGGAAGGCCTCTCCTCCTACCCAGCCTCTGCGGTCTGGCTGCGAGTCTGCTCCCCGTTGCCTCCCAGCCCATTTCTCCCTCTGGGATTCCTGAGGGCTGCCTGCCTGCTGCACTGCTGCCTTTCCCGTCCTCAGCTTCACCGTGCTGCTCCTCTGTGTGGGAAATCTCCCCGCTCCAGAAACCTGCCCCCGCGTGAGCCTTTGGGATGGCCCAGAGGGAGGTGTGAGCTCCCCGTTCTCCTCCTGCGTGACGCAGAGGGCAGCGGCGAGGCTGGCAGCAGTGGGTGCTCAGCCACGGGGAGCGCGATGTGCAGCACTGCTGCTTTCGGCTGTGGGTCCCTGAAATGGGTGCCTTACTGTGTCTGCGGGGTGCAGTCTTCTCCAAAGTAACTGGTACTACGTGTAAAAATAACCTATTGGTTTGTGTAAAAAGCATCCAATTTCTTTTAGCAGTTGTTCCATTCTCTGGCATTTAGTGTGGCTGACTTGCGGCTGCCAGCACTACTCCTGCCTGTGCAGCTTGGTCTGGAGTGTGCAGCTTGGTCTGGAGATGTGCCCTTGGCTTCTGTGAGCGCCTTTTTGTTCTGGTGTCCCTCCCTCCCGTGTCCAGACTTGTAGCTGTTCTGTAATACCTCTTGCTGTACAGATAGCAAATAGCGCCTTTAAGATTACCTTTCTTATTACTGTTTTCCTTGTCTCCCATACAAAGTAATGCAGCAGATGTTAGCTTTTGTTTTAACGCGTCTGTGGGTTGGGGTTTTACTTTTTTTTCCAAATGGCTTCAGCATAAACTTTGGTTTGTCCTTGAACAGCCTGGAGCTATTTTTAGTTTTTGTGGGCAGTAAAAGTGGCTCCACAGAAATGCAACTGCACCATAAGGTTGAAATATTTTTTTAACTATCCGGTTCACCTTTGACCTTGACTGCAGTGCCTGAACGGTAGAGATGTACAGCACAATTAGTAATTCTAAATCTGGTTTACATTGTGTGGGCTGTGCTTCAGATGGCTGAATTCCCAGCTTTTGGCTCTGTGACTTTGCAGTCAGATAAACAGCTGAAAGACCTTTCAATGGCCACACAGTTCATTTTTTTGTGTGAGAATTGTCAGCACAACAGGTTACTCAGTTTTCTTTTGGAGAGGAAGGGAGGTAAAAGCACTCTGAGAACTGCTGCTGGTCTGGGCTGTAGCCTTTAGTTCAACAATCTGCATGTCTTGAAGCTTCTTGATCTGTCACTTACAGCTATTCAATTTGAATGTCTTCAAGTTTTTTCTTAAATTCTGTGGACTTAATTTCCCAAATTTCAGCTGTTGTCCTGCACGGAGTAGAAATCTGCTTTCTGAAAAAGATAATATGGTAAAGGAGTGAGATTTGCGGGGCCTTGCTTGCCCTCTGTATAAATTGCTTCCTAATTGCAGCAGTGAGAAAAAGAAAAAAAGATTTATTTTTAAAGTGCTGAATTTCAAAAGAAGATAGCTTCCTTGCTGAATAACTTTATATTATACACCAGGTAGTAGTGTGTATTTCATAATAAAAATTAATTCTGCATTATGGGCTGGGGTTTCCTAGCTGCAAGACAAAGCATCGTACCTTCACAATCAGCACTGTCTCCCAGTAAAACCCAGCACACCTGTATTTTGTGGCTGTGCTTCTTTCTAACAGCACGAGGCTGAGTTAAGCTTAATAGCAGTGTTGGATAGGTAAGGTAGCTTGTATGATGCCTGTAGGGATGGCTGGGTGCTTCTCTCCTTTCTGACTCCTGGGAAGGCAAGAGTTAAATAGTGAGATGTGTTGCCGTTTTTCCGAATGTTGTTGTGGAGTCTGGACCTGAGTAGTAATTCCTGAGTAGTAACACCTGTCTGTGTCAGGAAATAATCTGACTTTCCCTTAAATTCATTTTAGTTGCCATCTAGCAAAATTCAACTCTTTTTCCTTTGTCTTTCCTAAAGCAAAAGCTATTTGCAGCCTCTGTCCCAAATTACAGAAGCAAATATTGACTCCTGATGAGTGCTGTTGGGTATCAAGGCACTTGGAAACGTGAAGTATCTCAGTGTTTCTTACTAATCTGTCCCTGCAGGATTATGACTGGGAACTACAGAGTTGTTGGGACTAAGTAAACCTGTGCTAGCACAGCTCTCCTCCTCTCCTTGCAGTTGCATGACTAAAGCAAGGCAGAATAGCAGAGCTGTGGGAGGACAGACACAGCCATGCAGACAGAAGTCGCCACTCTGAAAACATGATGCTTTGCCTCTTTAGCATTGAAGTCAGAGGGTCTCTTAAGGTTCTCGAATGAAGTGTCATCTCCACCTCCAGGGAAAATGCATATGGTAGTTCCCTGTCTGTAGTGAGGTTTTTCTGTCGTTGTTGTCAGTATGAGGCGCTTCAACTTTTTTTGATTCTCTCTCCATTAGTGTGTATCTTGAAAGAAAAGAAGTTTCTCGATCTGTCACTTGTAGCCATCTGATTGGGATTTTTTCTTTTTCCTCAAGGTTGTCTTTTTTTGACTGTGCATAAGGCTTGAGATTAAAAAGAGGTCCACCTCAGCAAATTCCATCCCGCCCTGGGCATTTATGGTTTTGTGGTTTAGGTTGTGCTACTTGGATGCATTTGTGTTTGTAAAGATTGAAAATGGTTGAGTGTGTTCTGGGAAAAGTTAATTATATATACTTTTAGATCCTTCGTTAGAAGGAACGATTCAACCTCTGGAAACAGGTAACTGATTTTGTGCCATGTGGCTTTGTATTAGTGCTTGGGTTGGAGTAATATGAGTAGCTGCAGTTCATTTACAAGAGACTGAGTCATTATTAGAATTTCATCTGCACAATGGAAGGTATCAGCATGGTTTGCATGTTTCTTGTTTGTGTGATGCTACAGCAGTTGGTGTGTCAGCTTGTAGATGACACATCAGCAGCAATTCTTTATCTCAAACACTTCCATGAGGAGGGTTTAACTAAACTGTAAAGATGCTCCCTGGACTTAGGAGTGTAGTGAGCGTACCCAGAGAGGCATCGTTCAGGATTCAGCCCCGCAGGTCCTTTTTGTTCTCATGTGGTACTTGGCAGCTGCTCCCTTTTATCACTTCTGGACACGTTTTTCAGCAGAGCCCTCAGTGATGAGCCTGTGTCCTAGGTGCAGGTGCCAGCTTTACTATGGCAATCTCGAGCGTTTTTCCTTCTCCGGAGGTAAATGCAGTATAAGCAGGAAATCTTTGTAGCCTACAACACGAAATCAAATTTAAGAGCTGTTAGGGCAGGATGGTTTATTTGCAGTCTTGTTTTGTTCATGTGGGTTTAGAACTTCAATGACGCTTTAAAGCGATATGATGCTGGAATACTTGCTGGTTTTCATACGGGAGCCTGTCAAAAGAAATGCTGCCCAGTGCTTAAAATAACCTGCAGTCCCATATTGGTTTGCTCTCTTTCCTATAAATAAAAATAAGAACTACATCACTGAATTCTTTACTTTTTTCATATTTTCTGCTTTTTTTTCTGCTACTGAACAGTTTAGCTTTGGGTTTTTATATTAATAAACCAATGTTCAGTTTGCAGACACAGGAGGGAACAGCTTTATGTTCAAGCAGTCTACACTTAATGTATTGATGAACTGTTCTATGCGTATATTTTGCTTTCATATAAAAACATGAAAACTTCAGACTCTAGATCTAAGCGAATTTTCCTGCATATCTTTTGAATAGATGCAGGTGGGCTTTTTTGTTTGCATAAATCCTTTAAAATGCAAAATTCTTTTCTTTTGTTACAAATTCTGAATTAACTTTCACACTTGAAAATAGAGTTCCATGTAATTGACAGTTAATTTTTTAGGAGTCAGTCATTGGTTTGTATTAGGAAAATTATGACATAACTTGAACCTAGAAATTTTACTCATGGCACTGTATTACACTGAATTAAGTTGCTTGGAGAAAGCTTGATAGTTCAAGCTGACAGGTTTTGTGGAAGGTTTTAGGCAATTGTCTCGTGTGCAGCATCTTGCTACAAATGGGGTGTTGTGGGATAACAACTTTTTTTTTTGAGAAGTGACATTTATAGAACGACCTCTTGCTTAAATTAATCTGATTCCTCTGGTTGCTTAAAAACACCAGGCTTTTGCATGTTGCTCCCTGCTTGATTTTGCAGATCGAAGTTAATAGCACACACCTTCTGTTCTTATAGCTTTTCTCCATCATTTACTAGAATGTCTTCTCATTGCATTTCTAAAATGAAAATAATTCATAGTTAACCATGTAAAAGATGTGGTTTGAAAAGGAGTGGTTGGATTGTTTGTGGCTTTTTCCACAGAGTGAATCACAGTGTGGTTTGGTATGGCATGCTTTAACATCAAGTACATCCTCATAATACATTATTATTAGTACCTATATTTGGTAGAAAAATAGGAAAATGTTCGCTGTCTTGCCAAGCTAGTCCTGTTGGGGTGGAACTAAACTGCTGTGTTCACCTGGTCAGTTATCTGTTAGTGTACCTACTTGTGTTCCCTCTTTGTTTGCACATTAGGACTGCACCTGGCATTTAGGATTCAGATGAAACCTTTGTATCTTTTTGCTTACCATTTTCATGTTTACTTTTTTACCCCCTCAGATACAAATAGTCCATCTGGAAAGGAAGGAAAGCCTGTAGAAAATGGAGTCCTTGTGAATGAAGCCCCTGGAAAGTTGATGCATAGGTGTGTAGTCTTTTTTTTTTTTTCCCTTTTTTTTTTTTCCTCCTTCTTTTGCCCCCTTTTCCATCCTGTTACTCAGTCATGGACAAAGATTAATGTGGTGTTGATGGTATGTGTTAGAGGAAAATGTGTCGTGCTGGGTCAGGCAGCCCGAGCGAGGCGAGGCTGCTGCTGCTCCGTGGCTCCCGGTCCAGCAGTCGCGAGGCTGAAGGTGTACTGCCTGCAGGCACACGCAGAGCGCGCACACGCACCTCCTGGGTACGCGGCCGGCCGCATGGACCACGGACATGTAGAGCACCCACACAAACACAGCGCCAAATGGCCTCATCCTGTTCCTGCCTCTGGCTGAGCAGGACAGAGGTTCCCCAGTGGAATACCATATACGTGTATGTGCAGGGTGGGTCCCCCTGCTAGCTGGGCTCAGACGCTCGCTCTGCCCAACAGCTGCCCCTGGACCCCAGTCTCCCCAACGGCCAGCACCTGGGCATGCGAACCTCTGAGGCTGCAGCCCCACGCCGGTGGCTGGTACGGACTGTTGTGCATGCATGTCTGCGCGCACAGAGCTCTTGTGCTACTTTTTCTACCTAAAGAAACGATTGTGTTGTAGCAAGATACCATGGGTTTGGCTCGCATAGAGGGAGAGCAGTGCATTGGGTAGTCCAGCTTTCCCATGCTTTCCCAAGGCTCCTGTGGCTGACTGCTGTCTGATGGGATGAAGTGCTAAGTGGCCCTTTAGTCTGACCTAGTACAGCTGCTGTTATGCTTGAGAGAGGCCAAAGGCAGTTGCTGTGATTAAACCTTCCCAAAATCAATCTCATGGTCTGTGCCGTATTCTTTTGGTGCTCTAGAGCTACTGTATTTCTGTACACTAATGAGCACCTGGGAGTACAATTGATGCCAGCGTGGGTACCCTTTTTGCACTTCAGCATCTGCCCTGCGTATGATAGGGTTTGTAAAAGCTGAGGTTGGTGATCACCAAGCGTTTTTCTTTCCGGAGTTCGATTGCTCAACCTAGACTTCTTTGACTGAATAGCCTGTTATTTGTATCTGAAGATGGATTCTTGAGAACCGAACGCCATCAGGGAGGATTAGCAGCGCACTGTGAGGGTAGGAGGAGGTACTAGTAACCGCTGGCCTGATGCTGACTGGTTAGGAGATTGAGTATCGCCAGAATAATGTAAGCCACTGACTTGGAGCTGTGGACTGTTACTGTTGAAGTCTATTTATGAAGTAAACACCTGGCCTGTATCACGCTAAGACTGCAAAATAAATGTCTTCAAACAGGCAACTCAGTAACTCTTCAACATACAGCAGAGACACGGGGAAGCCACCGCACCAGAGCAGCACAGCAGAGCTGCAGAAGCCACTTGCTGAAAAGAATTCCTGGAAATTGACGGAGGCTGACACAGCGAAGACCGGGAGGGTAAGGTCTCCTCTTCCCACTTCCTGCACTCGCTTTCAGTTTTAGAAAAATCCCCAGGGTTCAGAAGAAAATAGCTTCCAAAGACCATGTAAGCGGGGTGAGAAAGCTCTGAGCGGGTTCTTGGACTTGGTGCTTGTTGTGCAGTACTTCGTGGAAGTGTGGCTGTGCCCTCTGCTCCCAAAGCTGAGCTCCTGGTTTGCATGCAGAAAGAGTGCTGACACCACAGCTTTTGTTTAAGATGATGGGTCTAACCACATCAAAGTTTAAAAGAAGAGATGAAAACCTTGCAGCTATTTCTTGGAGAGAGGTTGTGACAAATTAAGTGACTTCATGAAATCTGCCCTTCAGTGTAAGGAGCTGGAATTGACTCAGATGAATTTAAGCCAAGTTTCCACTATAGACACAAGTATCTAATCCCAGGATACCCAGGGCTTTCTGAGAAACCCGAGAGTGAGGTTCCTGGGAAAATGGCAGTTACACCTCCTAGCAGTGTTGCTTGAATCCTCTGGTTAAAGATAGATCATAGGATACAAGCCATGTGGAGCGAGGATTTAATTAAAGGCTGTACAGTCTTGTGGTTAAAAAAAAAAGAAAAAGCCAAAAACTGGAACTCCTCAGTGAAGTGTTTGGCTCTGCCACTGATGCTCTGTGTTACTTCAGGCAGGTCTCTCCCTACCCGTCCCTTCCCTTGGAAGACAAGGGAAGGATGATGTGTGCCTGCCCTGGAGGGATGTTGGGTTTGGCACCTCTCCATAGAACACTTTGCAGTTTGTGTTCCCAAGCAGTGGCTCCAGAGTGCAACTGTTGTGGTTTTATGGCCTGATGCAGGGATACTGACTTTAAATAGGGGGAATTGAGGGTTTTGAAACTTAATCTGCAAAATGAGTTTTTTTTCTTTTTTTTTCCCTTTCTGTCTTCAGGTAAAGGCAACAGTGTACTGGGACTACATGAAAGCAATTGGACTCTTTATCTCTTTCTTGAGCATTTTCCTCTTTATGTGTAATCATATAGCCTCCCTGGCTTCCAACTACTGGCTGAGTTTATGGACAGATGATCCTGTTATCAATGGGACACAGCAGTACACAAATGTCAGACTGGGAGTGTATGGAGCACTGGGAATTTCTCAAGGTTTGCTTGGTCTTACCTATTTTAAGATCAGTTGGTTCAGAATGTTTCCAGTGCTCTTGGTGACCTTGTATCCCCAGAACTGTGGCGGCAGTTTGCGAAACATTTGTGTGGGGTTGGTTTTTGTTTTTTTTTTTCTTTCTTCCTTCATAGGAAGATGAAAAACTTGAGTGGATTTAAAGAAAAAAAGGGACAAACAAACCAACTTCTAAAATTATTCAGTCGGTGAATGTGGTTTTCTTTCATTTGAACAAAACAAGGATTAAAGTGGTTTGCAGGGGCTGATGAGCCAGCAGCTGGTGACAAAACATCTGACCCAGGAAGTGGCTCCTTGGCCTGTGAAGGAACTGCGCTAGCCTGGTTCACAGGGACGGGTTGGCGCAGGAGGCCATGGCTACGCTGCCCGCCTTGCGGACACGGCCTGGCTCAGCTGGTGTTTTCTCTGAGGGGCCACTGAGGCACCGTGGGGAGGCCAGCGCCGTGGCTTTTTATGTGTCCTCTTTGTGGTCACGGTTTGCTTGCCATGAAACCTAACACCCCGAGTTCCCCGCTTCAGAATTGCTGTAAAAATCTCACAATAAAAACTAAATGCCACCTTAAAATTCAGTGGTCTTTACTCAAGGAAAGTGCTCAAATATCACACAAAATTTTGTAATGGAGAAACAACATCTTCCATGAGGGAAATTTGGTGTTTTCACTGATTATTTTATTTTATTTTTAATTACTTGGGGTAGTTGCTCAGTCTACCTGTAGTGAAGCCCAGTTCTCAGGATTATTGTACTAGAGATGTGCTAACGCTAAGTGATGACAGAATGAAGGAAAATATTTTATGTGAGAGGTGGAAGCAGTTAAAACCCGTCTTCTTTTCCAGGTATAGCTGTGTTTGGCTACTCAATGGTTGTGTCAATAGGGGGAATATTTGCTTCGCGACACCTGCACCTTAACCTGCTGCACAATGTCCTCAGATCTCCAATGAGTTTCTTTGAACGTACGCCCAGTGGAAATCTGGTGAACCGTTTCTCTAAGGAGATCGATACCATTGACTCCACCATTCCACCAATCATCAAGATGTTCATGGGCTCCACATTTAATGTGATTGGGGCTTGTATCATCATTCTGCTGGCCACACCTATAGCTGCTGTCATTATTCCACCTCTGGGACTTGTCTACTTGTTTGTGCAGGTAGGGGTTTATCTGCGGGCACTGGGTCAGCAGTCACTCATCCTCTGTTACTGAAGACAGTTCTCTTCTGATTCTGCACTGGGATGGATTCTAATGTGTTTGACTTGAGTCATGCTTGACTGACGGTGCTTTGCATGGTTTAGTGATTAGCTGACGTTAGCAGAGCATTTCCTTCCGTTGTCAGGTGTAGAGTGACTTCTGTGCAGAAGGTAGTCCTTTAGTACTGAAGTAGGATTTATAAAAACACCATTAGCTTTTGAGGCAAATTTTGTCAAGCTTGTTGCTCAGAGACCAAGTATGGAAAATGTATGGGCTTTTCTAAAACTTGCTTCTAAACAAGAGTAGCCTTGAGGGGTACATGTGCATTGCTGATGTGCCTGTTTCGTCAGAATTTTGTTTACAGAGCAAAAGAAATGATGGCAGCCTTTCACTCTGGTCTTGTGTAGGCAGGGTGTGCTTGCTTCACTCTTGCTTTACTCTTGGAAATCTAGTAGGGCCAGTATGGGTTGGAGAGAAGCAGCTGGGTTTTGTCTTTGAATTAATGGAGCCTGACAGATTCTCTAGTAAACCTTAAAGGCAGTGATGTGTGTGTGTTATACTGTTGAACTAAGCTTGCAGAGAAGTGAAAGAGGAGAAAATGGCTGTTGCATGAGATGGTTTGATTGGTGGCTGTTTAAAGACAGCAGAGTGTATGTAATGGTCTTTCTAGGCCTGAAAGTGTTGGAGAAGGCATGTATTCCCATGTGCAAGTTGAGTTTTCTCTAACAGCCCAAATGGCAGGGACCTCTTTTATGATTCGCTTTGTCTTTTCATATGTGGTCTGGATGGTAACCCTAATTCTCATACTCTGATTTGCAGAGGTTTTATGTGGCCACTTCTCGCCAGCTCAAACGTCTCGAGTCTGTCAGTCGTTCTCCTGTGTATTCTCACTTCAACGAGACCCTCCTGGGAGTCAGTGTCATTCGAGCCTTTGAGGAGCAGAAACGTTTCATAAAGCAGAATGACATGAAAGTGGATGAAAATCAGAAAGCTTATTATCCAAGCATTGTTGCAAACAGGTAACGGCGGGGTTGAAGTATTGAAAGACAGTTATATAGGGAGGACGTGGTTCTGCCGCCCGTGCTCCTTAGCAATGGCAGCTCCCAGCACATCTGTCCAGGGTAGGGAGGTCTCTGTGGATGTATCTGTTTGACAGATGTTTTACTTAAACTTGGTGATGGAATTAAGATGACTTCTGAATTTCTCTTCTTTCTGAGAGTTCCTGCCTTACTTCTGGGTAATAGTTTTTAAAAGTATTGATTCATTGATCCCAGTGTTAACCACAGCTGCTTTCTGAACTAAGACAGGAATTTGTGCACTTGAAAGATTTATTAATTTCGGATGCCTCTAGGTTTGCATGCTGGTGGAGCAGAACCTCAGATACCTTGCAGTTCCTGTGTTGCTGGCAGTATGCAGATGCCATTTTACTAATCTTTTCAAAAACAGAATGAGAATGTTGGTTGGCCACATTCCTAATTCACTGTGACTGAATTACTGGAAAGATGCATTACATTTTTCTGTCTTGCAGGTGGCTGGCTGTCCGTCTGGAGTATGTGGGGAACTGTATTGTGCTCTTTGCAGCATTGTTTGCAGTGATCGCACGCAACAAACTCAGCGCAGGACTGGTTGGCCTCTCAGTGTCCTACTCACTGCAGGTAATTTTACCTTTTTTTTTTAAAAAAAAACCAAACAACAAAATCAAACACCAAACAACAACAAAAAACAACCCTCTGAATTGTAAGGCAGCATCAGAAAGTCAGAACCTCGCTACGGCTTTGGAGGGAAAAGTAATTTAAGGAACATGGGAAGAAGAAAAAACACTACAAATAGCATCTGGAATGATGCTGGGAAGTTCCTTCTGTGCCTTGCCTGGGTGAGGGGATGTGGCTAAGACGACTCATCCCCTGCATGTTAAAGGCAAGGTCCAGCACTGATTAGCCAAGATCTTGTCTGTGTTTATGCATTCCATGAACTTGCAGTGCTTTGGTTGTACGGTGTTTTTTATTTATTGCAGGTAACATATTTAGTGTAAACTGCTTCTGGACTGCTTTTCTTCTTGCAGATTACAGCATACCTGAACTGGCTAGTTCGCATGTCGTCTGAGCTGGAAACCAACATTGTTGCTGTTGAAAGAGTCAAAGAATACGCTGAAATGGAGAAGGAGGTGCGTTGAGATGCCCACCACATCTGTAGAAGTCAGTGCCCTGTTCTGAGGTCTGGCGGGACGGGTTGGGGTTGGGCATGTCCTCTGAGCAGAGGGATGGAGCTTAGTGCTGTCGGTGCCCTCCCTTGAGGGACAGGCTGTATCTTGGTGGATAGTTTCTGTGGACGCTTTTGAGGTGTATCTGCTGATACTTACACAGTGTTATTTAGGAAATGTGCTGTTCTGCCCTGGGCTAAGCAGTGGAGCTGTACAAATGTTTTGGTTTCCTAAATGCTTAGACATTATCTTTTTATTTGCGTTTCTCTTTTTGCTCTCAGTGTGGGACTTAGAGGTTTTGCTTTTTCTGTTTTGATTCAAATCACCTAACAACTCATTTCATCTGCATTTGTGCCCCTTTTGGCTACAGAACAGAGTTCCCTGTGCTGCTTTGCCATGACTGTCACTTGAACCTGACTTGAGTCACTATTTTTGCAGCCAAACCTTGTGAAAACCCTTCCTAGAATTTTTTTCTGATTGCAGACCCGTGCTTATAGAGTTAAAAGCCTTTTTGTTTGGCACTGGCAGTGAATGCAGTGGGGTCTGTTCTCTCCCACCTCTGTGGGAGGCTGAGGCAGCAGCTGTTTACTTTACCAGCTTGTTAATCTCGTAGTGCTTGTGTCTCAGTTAAACAATTAAACTCCTCATTCTGCCCCTGCTCCACCCTGGGGTCCCTTCCACGGGGGACAGTTCTCTATGAACTTCTCCAATGTGAGCCCTTCCCACGGGCTGCAGTTCTTCACAAACTGCTCCAACATGGGTATCTCCCACGGGGTGCAGACCTTCGGGAGCAAACTGCTCCAGCGTGGGTCCCCCATGGGGTCACAAGTCCTGCCAGCAAACCTGCTCTGGCGTGGGCTCCTCTCTCCACGGATCCACAGGTCCTGCCAGGAGCTTGCTCCAGCGTGGGCTTCCCATGGGCCACAGCCTCCTTCAGGTGTCTCCACCTGCTCCAGCGTGGGGTCCTCCAGGGGCTGCAGGTGGAATCTCTGCTCCCCGTCATCCTCGAGTCCTCTGAGCCCATGTCCAGTTGAAGGAGGAACTGATATGTTTGTGTGGTTCTTTCAGGCGGAATGGAGCATTGAACAAACTGCCCCAGCCAGTACCTGGCCTGAGGAAGGGAAGGTTGAGTTTCGAGGCTATGGTTTACGTTACCGGGAAGACTTGGATTTGGTTCTGAAAAATATAAATGTTACCATAAATGGGGGTGAGAAGGTAATGAATCAGAATTTATAGTAGAGTGTTACTGTTTATAAGTCTGCATGCATAGGCCAAAAGAGGTCTAACCCTGTTTGTACTGTGCCTTGGGTCCTTAAGAGCGAGAAGAGCTTCTGTAGAGTCTGTCTTACTGTCACAGGCAGATGTAGCGGGCTGTTATCCTTGCCAAGGTGTGTCCTGCATCATGAGGTAACGATACACTATTAAGGGGCCTTGTGAAGTATCTTTTGGTCTGGTTTCCTAAGGAAGTGAGGTTTATGTGTCTTCTCTCTCCTTCCCAGGAAATGTTGCTAATTTGTGTGCCGTAAGCAGAGAGCAGTGCAGGTTGCAGAGAGATTAAGTTAATTATAGTCTCAAGAAAATGAGCTGCTAAGTAGAGGGGGGAAGCCCTGATCTGGTGAGGCAAGGTGAGAATCTGCAGGAAACTGCAGGGACTTGAGAGGAGATTCTCTGGATCTGGCCAAACTGATGGTGATATGTAGCGTCTCCTACTGCTTCCTCGCATGTGCACTCGCACGCATCCCGCCCGTCCTGTGGGGATTCTCTGAGCTTTAATAATAGTCTGGTCTTGCACGGCAGCATGAAAGGGAGCGGCAAGACAGATGATCTGTCCAGCTTCCTTAGTTGTGTTCTGCGTACAGATATGGGCAGAACACTACCTCCAGTGGTTAGAAAGGGCAGGTGACAAGAGATCTATCAACCAACCAAAGTAGCATTCCTTTACATTTATTTAAAAAAAAAAAAAGGGTGAAGACTTCAGTCTAACAGGGAAGTAAAATGTACAGTATGAAACTGTACTTTTGGTATATTTTTGCTATAAATTCAAACAAGATAAATGTCAAGTCAGCAATTGTAACTGTAAAGCATGAACAAAGGATTAGGGAAACCTTGGCCTGCTCTACCCAATTCCATCTGCCTTTCTAGAAAAATGGAAAACTGTCATTGGATTGCAGATTTTGACTGCTTTTTGTTCTTGTTTTTTCATATCCAACAGATTGGAATAGTTGGAAGAACGGGAGCTGGAAAATCCTCACTTACTTTAGGTTTGTTTCGGATTAATGAAGCAGCTGAAGGAGAAATTATTATTGATGGAATTAATATTGCAAAGATAGGGCTCCATGACTTGCGGTTCAAGATCACCATCATCCCACAGGTAGGTGTGAAATCTCGCCGTTAGCAGAACCCGTTTTGTAACAATGCTGTTTCTGTAACGTACTGGGGAGAATATGTTAATTCCTTCTCTGATCTATAGCTGTGGGATTGAGTCATTTCAGCATGCTCTTTCATGGGCTGGAAACCAAGCGTTTCTCCTGGACTGGCTTTGATGAGCTTGTGCTGGGTAACAAGTAGGAGCTTGGCTGTGGCCGAGTTGTGATGTGGAAGCAAAGCCCTGGCCTTTGGACCCACGGGCTTTGCCAGCACCCCACGCTGATCACTTCGGTGTGACAGACAGCGGAGCTGAGTGGGGAGGTCTCATCCCAGCTGGACACCTGGCCGGGATCCCGTAGTTAGCTGGGACCGTTGCTCTTTGGGCCAGTAAAGGGGAAGTAAATCTGAGTATTTCCACTCGTGGAAGGCCCTCAGGACTTTTTCTAGAGATCAGTTTCCACTTTCACTTTAGGTGGTTCATTCTGTTTAGAAATGGAACCAAGGTACCGTGTAGTCCAGTTGTGAGGAATTGGGATTTTGCGTTGCTGTTTCAGGCTTGAGCCGTGCTCTTTGGGCCTTTGTACGAAGCACTCTGGCTTGGGCAGGATCTCGTGAGCGAGGTGTGTGTTACTGTTTGCTCACAGAACCTCTACGTAACCATCCCGGTCTAGCCCAGCAATGGGGGGTTAGATAGTCCAAAACGTTTGGGAATACGGCTTTACAAGGACCGGACTTATAGTCTCAAGTCGTCTTGTTCTTACTGCGGAGCTTTTATTGCCTGCCTGTTCTGATTCAAAGACAGACCATAAAACGTGGTTGTATAAACCACCGTTGCATCACGCTGCCGTAACAAGTGAGCACCCTGTAGAAGGTTTTCTGCACCGCTTCTTTTGGAAATCTTGGGGGGGGAGCTTTTGCTTTCTCCTTTTTGATCACTTTGCATCAGTCTGACACTACTAGGTCAGAAGTATTTCCAAAGTAGTATTTCTCCATGTCCAGGAAGAAAATGCATTCATGTCATTAATACTGCAGCTGAAGATTCTTGAAATATTTACAGATGATGTAGTTCCCCAAGAAGCGGAAAGTTGACCTAGTAGTCCCTGCTGACAGAGGGTTGGGCAGGGAGTGCCTGTTCTTTAACTTACTAGCCCAGTAAAAGAAAGTTGGCTGTTTGGTTTGTGGGGTTTTCTTTGTTTGTTTTTTTTTTTCCTTTTTTTTTTTTTTTCTTTTTCTGGATTTGTGAGTTACTGACTCACAGAAAGGTCTGGAGTGCCAGAGTCTGCAGAGGGCAGGGGTCAGGCCCCCAGGAGGTGAAAGGAATAAGGGTGAGGGACAACTACTTGCTGTCATTGGAAAAAGTGAGGTCTCACTCCTAAATTCAGTAGATTAGCTTGCTTGCAACGGCACCTGGACATGCTCTTTTCCTGTCATTATCTAAGCAGTATTTTTGGGCTGCTTGCCGTGTTTGGTGTACATTGCCAATTACCTCTTTGTGTGCAGGATCCGATACTGTTTTCTGGCTCTCTGCGTATGAACCTTGACCCTTTTGACCAACACTCCGATGAAGACATTTGGAGGTCTTTGGAATTGGCTCACCTGAAAAACTTTGTATCGTCCCTTCCTGATAAACTTAATCATGAATGTGCTGAAGGTGGAGAGAACCTCAGGTACGTCAAATAACCGTGCTTGTGAAAACTGCCTTAAGGGCCAAAGGAGACGTGAGAGGGGGGTGTGTGCGCGTGCCCTCCCGTCTGCAGCCACACTCTCCACTTCAGAAACCGTGCGGCTTGCTCGGCCAGTGTGTAGCTTGGCCCTAGCACAGCAGTGCCGTGGGGGCTCCCCCCGCCCCGCTTGGGAATTTGGGGAGGGAATTGGGGATTCTTAATGCACGACCAGGCAATCAACCAACTAGACTTTATTCAACATGTTTTAAACCCTCAAGTTTGGGCATTCAAAGTAATTTAAGAAATACTCTGAATGCTGCGAGGTTTGACACCGTGGGCAGTCTTGGAAAGGACTTTAGTAGCAGCAGCTCGCTATTTATAGCTGGTGCTCTGAACTTACCATGGCTCCTGCCCAACAGATGCAGCTTTTCTAAGGGAGTTGTTAGCTCACCTTTTGCACCGTCACAGGGATACATGTTCAGTCTGTAGAAACCATTTGAAGTACAGGCCTCAACACTGCATTGATGCAGTTATGTTGAAACCATTTAATGTAATCTCTTATGATGTTGCCAAGACTTCATTGTGAGGGGGGTGTAGTTTCAGATGCTGTTAGATACTCTGCAGTGAAGTAGTAAGACTGACCTTATCTATTTTGCTGGATTCTTGGCACCTCTACTTTAGAAGAGCTCTTACAAGGAGTTGCTGGGCTTCGAAATGAATACTGCAAACTTGTTCTGACTCTTTTCCTCACCCTCCCACCCCATCTGCGCAGTGTGGGACAGCGCCAGCTGGTGTGCCTGGCACGAGCTCTGCTCAGGAAGTCCAAAATCCTGGTTCTGGATGAAGCCACAGCTGCTGTTGATCTTGAAACAGATAAACTTATACAGTCAACAATAAAGTCTCAATTTGAAGAGTGTACTGTATTAACTATAGCACATCGTCTGAACACAATCATGGACTACACAAGGTAAAGTAATACCACATTTATCTTGAAGAATGCCACGCGTGACCTGCACTGTGCTCTACTTAAAGAGCACCTTTGTGTTAGCTAAATGTTCACCAGTGCGTTTTTAGCCCCCTCCCCACAGAGCTGCTGGAATCCCGGGTTTGATGGGGGAGGTGTGTTCTGGCTTGTGGTGGCTGTGCTCGGCCTGGGGAGCTCCTCCATCCCTCTGTCGCGCTGCTGTCGTGCCTTTCCTGCCCAGGCAAACCGGGGAGGGGAGGGAGGCGACGGTAGGAGTCTATTCCTGGGACTTGCCCTAATTTAGGCACAACTGGAAGAGGCATCGGAGCTTTAGGGAGCTCATACCCTAAACTAGGCACAGACAGTGTAAGGAATCACAGGGGCAGGTCCTGCGCTTGTCTGAAGTTATTTGACATTGCTCTTCCCATCACTTCTGGTTAAATACATACAGCCTCCCTCATCCTCAGCTGCCTTGCGAAGGTGTGGTTGAGGGTGGAGTTGTTGTCTCATAATTTCAGTTTTAAGCTCTCTCGTCCTTTTTATCGCAGAATGGCAGAGCGCACAGTGAGCAGCGATAAGGTTTTTGTGTACTTTTGTAGCGCTCTCTCTGTGCTGTCAGTAGCGAAAGATAAGAGCAGGAGCGCTGCCCACGCCAGGCCCAGCTCCGGTGGCGCTGTCACCGGAGGGGACAGCCCGGTTCAGTCGCGGGGCAGGTAGCCCCGTGCGGCAGCGGCACCTGCCAGGGCCCTCGCGGGCGTCTCTGCGGGACCTGGCCAGTTAGCGAGGCAGCGTGAACTCGGAGCCGACTGTGGCGACTTGCTGTGTAATCTTCCTAATCCCAGCTGCGCTTTTGTTTTGCGTGAGCTACGTCCGCGTTGGTGTTTTGTCAGCAGAAGCCGTACAAAATCAGTTGATGTGGTGCGGTTATTACGGGAAGGTTGTCCCAGGCCCTGCGAGGTCTTGAGGGCTCTCGCTCCCCTTGATGAGAAGCGCTGCCATTTAGTTTCTGGCTGGCTCAGAGCTCCATCAAAAGTCTTGTGGCTGCCTGCAAGTGACCAGGTAAAGATGGCACGTACAATTACACCCGGCAGAGCATCTGGAGCGAGGCCGGGAAGGAGAGCTGAGAACCTTGTGTCCATTCTTACAGCCTGGACTGTCTGTGCTTGTAATGGCTTCGCTACAGTCAGTGTCTGTACACACACCTCTGTGCTCGTTGGCTTTCTGGATCTTCTTCTGACCACTCTTTTTTCTTTCTCCTTGTTTTACAGAGTTTTAGTCCTGGACAGAGGAGAAGTGGTGGAGTGTGGTAGCCCAGACCACTTACTTCAGGAAAAAGGCATTTTCTATAGCATGGCCAAAGATTCAGGCTTGGTGTAGCACTTGAACTTGGTTAATTTGTATTGGGAAGAGGGAGGCGATGCATTCGGAGAACTGTGACCTCCCCTGAGCTGGTGTGAACCGTACAGCTCCGTTTCAGACCTAGAGAAGTCAGCCAGAGCATGGCAATGGAAGTAACATTAAAATGCAATTTTTGTTCTTTTTTCATTCTCCTTAGCGTTGATTTTAGCCAGCTTTAGGAGAGGCACATGTACTGTGCAGAACACTTCAGAGACTTTTAATTTTTGCCTGAAATCTGTCATTATATGCTCAAATGTAAGGCGGAGTGATTCATCAGAGAACTTCAGAAAAGCTTTTTCTTTTCATCTGCTTTTATGTTCCAAAGCCCCCTTTTTTTTTTTATTTAAAACATTTCTGCAAATGCTAGTTATTTGCTTGTTTGCTGATTCCTCACTTGATGAGCCATCCATTGTGGGATGCACTTGGAACATATTGTGGCATATAGTACTATAGTCCAAAGATTTTTCTTCTTGTGAAATAATGTGTGCCAGACTTTCTCACTATGGCATTTACTGTACATGGTTAATGCTTTTATGCATTCTCCTAAAGGTTTCATGTGTTTACAGTGTATAGCAGCAAGTTCACTAGAACATGTCGGTCGTGCTGATGTGAAAAAGCACAGTCAACTTCAAAGCAGTATTTAAGTGCATCTAGAATGACAATCACTGCAGACCGAGCTCGCGCAGCAGTTGGTGTTGCAGCGCGGTACCTGACCTTACCCCCTTCGCTCAGGACTCCTGACTTGGGTGGCGAGTCCTGGTGACGCCTGCGGGCCTGGGCCGAGGAGTGAGCAGAGCTGCGGGCTCGGCGCGGTGCCGATCGTAACGCCCTCGGCTTCGGCAGGTCTGGGCTTTCGTAGCAGCTCTGCCACGCCGAGGACCGTTAGCCTTACAGCGAAGAAACGTGCCCTTCATGCTGCTGCTTTGACTCTTACATTTTGTTGGAAACTGTTCTGTTACAGTTGTTTAAAAACAGCAGATCTTTTTTTTTTTTTTTAAAGTTGTGTGTCAGAGGGGTCTAATAATTCAATTAGCAATGGAGTCTGGTTTTCAAGACCGATGTTGAATGTTTATTTTTTTTTGTGGGAGGAAAGAAGTTACTTTTCTCATGTTCTGATTAGTCTTATTTTAAAGGAAAATGCTGGAAGAAGGCAAACTAAGTCAGACAGACCCAAATACTCAGCACTCTGAGAATGTGGACTTCTGTGAATGATATTGCTGACCTTAATACTAGACAATTGTCGTCTTTAGAGTAAAACTATTTATTTTTTTGTAAATTATGACTCTATAAAATTAAATAGACTGAAATTTTCTTTGGTATTTTTTGTAATGACTATACAAATATTTGCAAAGAACTTGCAGTAAAAAATTGTTTGAAAAAACCTGTGATGTGTCACTTCTTGCTTTGTATTTGACAAAGGCTTAGCTTCGGCAGCGCGTGTTTTTGCCTTGAGAACAGAAATGATTGGTAGTGCTCAGCCTAGCCAGGCTGATGTCAGGGCGGGTAGGAAACCGTGAGTGCGAGTAACTGTGCTGTGGTGGGGCTGGGCCACGTCTCGCGCCTCCTCTTGTAGTTTGAGTACCGCAGTCTGAGCAGACCAGTAGTAACGACGCATGGGTAGAGCAGGACCCAGCGGCGCTGTGGACCTTTGCCCAGGGCCTGTGGGCAGCTTGGCGTTGGCTTCCCCTGTGAAGTTTTGGGTTTTCAAACCACCTAATGCTTATGCGGCATTGCGATGGGTAGAAGGGTGAAAGATTGGAGCAAATGGTTAGTAAGAATGGAGTACAGAGCAGAGAAACGAGCTTGCCAGGTGAGGTGCGTGGCTGGTATCGCTGTACTCAGCTGCATTGAAATGGAGACACAGCTGGCACTGCGCAACAGGCAGCAAAGCTCCCCGCCTCTCCCTGCCTGCGCAAACCAGCTGCCGCCACCACCACCGCCTTCCTCAGGGCCGAGCTGCTCAGAATGTCCAGTGAGGAAATTCAGACAGGGTTTAAGCACCTTTGAGAGGCCTCGTGGGTTTAGTGTAGCTCATTACTGCGATGGGGACTCTGCAGGTCTGGGATTGAACTCCCAGAGGTTCTGTCGCTGGAGTTCTTACCTGGGGGAAACAGATTTCAGCCTTGAGGAAATGCTGCTTTCCATGGCTCGCCGCACAGAGACCTACAAGGCTTCACATCTTCGTGCGAGTCCCTTGGAAACGGTGGAACCGCACTTAGGAGCGTGGTTTGTCTGAAATACACAACTTGCAGAATCATGCTTCTGCTGCGTAAAATGTTTGCAGTGGAGTTGTCTCTGTAGGAATGACTTGTGCTGCATTTGCAATCTCAAACTGGGTGCACTGGGAGGTGTCGCTGGATGTTCTGTGTCCCGTTCCTGGGCTCTTTGTGGTCGCTCGGGGAACTGCATGTCCAAAACGCTGGTTTTTGCAGGAGAGCCACCTAAACAGTGCAGGCAGGGGTCAGGAGACTGCTCTGTGTGTGTGTGCTTCAGTCGTTCTGTTCAGTGATGTGGTTGTTAATGTGCATCGCCGCGTTCTCCCAGGGTTATGTATTTATACGCTTGCTAACACAAACCGTTCTGCCCCAGCTCTGGAGGAAAGGAAATACCTGCCGGTGCTCTGTGCTGTTGCTGCACTGAGTCACAGTCCTGATCCCACATGTCTGTCCTCGTAAAAATGATGAATATCAGCTCTGGATGTAACTCGAACAAAACAGTGTTACGCACGAGATCAGTCTGAGCTGACCTTTGCTGCACCCAGAGCCAGCTGAACAGCCGCCGCTTTCTCCGAGCGGTGCCGCTCGGGGTGCCGGAGGCAGGAGCGGGGTGGTTGGGAGGTCCCGTTCCAGGTGGGGAAGAGAGGGCCGGATACCCATCCCTGCACGCAGCGTGACTGGGAACAACTGCCGGAAATGGTACGACTCGCTGCGAGGTAAGGAACTGGAATCTGGCATGGAACCAGTAGATGGTTTTTATTTAATCTGTTAAATTAAATACGCATTAATTAAATGCATCTTGGTGCGTGTGGTTTGGACCTCACGCTTAACGCAGCACCTGGGACGCTTTCAGCACTGGTGGGTAAGTGCACGGAAGCCTGTGGGCGTGTGGCCTCCCGGACCGGAGCCTGGTGCTATCCAGCGGGATTGGGCCGCTGCAGCGCGGGGCCATGACCTTCCCCCGGCTGACGGGGCACCAGTAAGTTCAGGGCTGTGACGCTCAGTTCCAGCAGCTGAGCTCGGTCCTGCAGCAGGCATCTGTCGGCATTGCCTGCCTCGGTGTCGCGTGTTCTCCTTTGTGCAGCAAAGCTACCGCCAGCTCCGGAAGACGGCATCCGGGAGAGGAGGCGGAAGGTACCGGGAGCGTGTACTGCAACCGGCGGCTCGGTCCTTGGGGTGGCGGCGAGCTGGGCACCCTCACCCAGCTGCTGCAGAGCAGGGTTCCCCGAAGTGCTCGGCCGTGGCTGGGCCTTGTCCTGTTCCCCGCCTGCAGTCCCCTCCTGGGGAGGGAGAGCGTCTGCCCCGCGGGAGGGTCTCGCCGCCAGCAGTCTTGTGCTCCTCTGCGTGGGTCGGTTCACACTTTGACCCAGTGTCTGAAGCCCAGCTTCATGGGTTCCCTTTTTTTTTTAATGGAATAATTAATTTCATTTAGATCAGCAGAAACAATGGAAACCTTATTTAGCTGTGTTGCTGGCTATTTATGTGTATTTTGTGCAAAATTTGCCAAATACCTGTCAGGCCCGAAAGTAATTGGCCAGACTTAGCACCCTTGCTCTTACCTAGAGAAAGGCTGAGCCTCCCCCCAGTTCATTCCCTGCTCTGGCTCTGTGGGCCAGTTCTAGTCTTTGAAAAGACCCCTGTCTTTCAAAGCAAAGCTCTCCTCTTTCTCTCGGAACCATTTTGTTCCATCTGTTCATTTAAACGTGAAGGATCTGTGACATCGGTCCAGCTCCTGCTGTGCTGCATCTTCTGCCTCACAGCAGTAACGGGAATGCCGCTGCAGCCCACGTGAAGCTGCTGCTGGAGAACCATTTTGTTCCATCTGTTCATTTAAACATGAAGGATCTGTGACACCGGTCCAGCTCCTGCTGTGTTGCATCTTCTGCCTCACAGCAGTAACGGGAGTGCCGCTGCAGCCCACGTGAAGCTGCTGCTG